CCAAATCAAAGAAACAACAACCCCAAATGCCCCAACTTAGATTTGCACTTCACCATCGGTCACTTCAATGCACCTCGATCACTTCAATGCACCTATATCTCCACCATGTTTCTTTTAATAGCAGCACTCTGAACTCATCAAAACGAGCGCGCCTGCAAAACTAATCCGCAATCCTGCTAATCCGCAAAATGCTTGTAATCCAAACAATCCTTAATCCACAGTAGTCCGTAATCCTTGCCCAGCCTTATAATCCGTAATCCTTAAAAGCTTTAGGAAGGAAAGACTCCAAACTACTGATTGGGGGGGCTGGTAGCTTGGATTGTAGGGATCCTCACAACCCCGATTTGGAAGCAACCAACTCAAACCACTGAATTGGGGATTCTGGATTGAAGGGTGGTTGAAGCCATAGGGATTGCTTGTGGCCATATATGTAATCCTCACAACCCCGACTTGGAAGCAACCAACTCAAACCACAGAATTGGGGGCTCTGGATTGAATGGTGTTTGTGGCCGCCGGGATTGTGAAGGGTGTTTGTCCTCACAACCCCGATTTGGAAGCAACCAACTCAAGCCACTGAAGTGGGGGCTCTGGATTGTGAAGGGTGTTTGTGACCATCGGGATTGTGAAGGGTGCTTGTGGCCATAGGAATCCTCACCCCGATTTGGAGGCAACCAGCTCAAACCACTGAACTCGGGGTTCTGGATTGTGAAAGGTGTTTGTGGTCATAGGGGTCCTTACAACCATCGCGCCAGCTGGGGGTAATGGAGGCGAAGGTGGTATAGGATCAGAGTTGTTTCACCAATAGGAAGGATCTGCGCATGTCAAACAATCCAAAGCTCTAATCCGCAATCCGCCCCAAACCGGACAATCCGATAGTTTGCAATCCGTAATCCCCCTTAGGATTAAGGATTACGTTTGATGAGGCCAGACACTGGGACCTGCTATTTCAGCAAATGGTGTGCTTCATGGACACCCTTTCACCTATATGTTCACCTCTTTGGGAGTTGGGGGGGCAGCCGATCCGTAGAGAGATTGAACGGCCCTTGTTCACCGCTCCAGTCGTACCTTCTAAGAAGGTCGGACCATCGATCTCGATGCCCAATGAAGGCCTCTTTGGAAGTACGACCCCCCGAAAAGGAGATGCCTGGGTGATCCTAGGCTGTAGGATGCTAATATTTTAATAGGTATAGTGTTAAAATAGGAAGACCTCCTAGGCAACCAACCTAGGGCCAGAGAGTCTCCTGGATGTCATCCGTTGTGGGTCACCTGGCTAGACTGCACTCACCTGGGCCCCATTGGGCCTGGACCACTCAACTGGACCCCCCAAAACACTCACCTGGAAACCTCGCCAGACTCGAGGCCAAGCTGAAAAAAAGGCACGCTTCTCCCGAATCGGCCTCCCAAGCTCCACCCGCTCCAAGCTGCAATAGCCCAGCAAGGCCCCCATGGCATGCGCCGCGATGCTCTCGCCCGGCACCCCTGCGCGCGAGAGGAGCAAGCTCGCGCGACCGGAGGGCTGGCGCCCGGTGTGGGGGGGGAAGAAAGGCAGGTGGGTGGGTGAAAAGACATGAAGCTCCGGCACGAACTGGGAGAGAACAATTAAGAGGTCATGACTCATGACGGTCATGAGCTGCAAAAACTGCTTGACTACTACTCAGCACCATGGTGCGAATGGGCGCTAACAGAATGGGCGTTCGGCAGAAGCTTTCACTGAAGCTCCGATCTCTGGGCTTGTGGCTCCGTGGAGTCGATTCTTGCTCCACTGCTTCCAGACCTCACGGGATAAAGGGTTCTTCCAGCTCTTCCATCCGCACTCGCATGGGACTGCCCATCTGTGCCACCCCATTGGCTCCCCCACCGCCCCAACTGATCGGCCGTCTGAAGGGGGTCGCGTTGGCCGGGCGACCCGGAGGGGTCTCGACACGTCGACACGGTGAGGGTCTCGTCTCGAGCACGGCCGGCGTGGCCAACGTGGAGCCTCCCCTGAGAAGGGCGAGCAAGATTTCCAGGTTCGCCGCTAACTTGGGCGTGATGATGAAAAGGTAGTAGACCAACGGCATGCCTCAGCCGTTCTGCTTTTTGGTGGCTTTTGATGGATTTTATAGGGTTTGGAAGGTGCGAACCGAGAAAAGCCTCCACCTGGCTGGGAGTTCAACTATATGTGTCCCGAGCTGTCCTCATCCTCATTCGACTTGAATCTGGGGATCCACCATCCCTGCCAGGTGGTGTCTGATGCTGGCCCCTCATAGCAATCGGTTCAATGCAACGAGGGAAAAGAATAAGGCAAGCGTTCCTCACTTCAGGAAAGTCTTTTGTTGCCCCGATTCTCAATCACACAACTTCCCCACCAAACGGTTCTCAAAACAGAACCTTCCAAGCCTATCCAAACCTTCGCAAAACCCACCGCGGGCGCGGAAAAGGCCCAAGCCGCTGCTGGACAAAATGGGGGTGACCAACTCCCGCCGCAAATCGTCTTGAACGAAGGCGGTGAAGTCTGCACTACTGCCATACCTCGGAGCCAGACCCCCAGCTGGGTGGCTTCAAGTTTGCTTTGAGGGACAGTCCCTGCCTGGGGTTCATGTCACCCTCGCTATGAGGGTCCTCTTGTCCTTGGGCAGGACTTGAGTCCTAGACTTCAGGACAGCAAATGACAGCAACTGGTGTTGAATTCTGATGTATAAAGGCTCATGGCATAAGCTTGGTCCCACCTGATGTGCCAATGTGAGCAACAGGCTTGCGGTTGAGCCAGTGGAAACAGTAGCCAAAACATGCCAAAACAAATCCAACTTGCAAACCCAAACGGATCAGCCGGGCAAACGCTGTTTGGCTGGACTCCTTTTTTGTGATGAACCATGTCGAAGCAACACAGAACGAAGTTTCGATGTTTCGGCGAGTGATGCGGCAACCTACCTACACACACAAGCACACCCATTCCCAGGGGAAAAGAACAAGCCAAGAACTATCTACTGCTCCAGTGGCGCAAATCTGGACCCACCGGGTGAAACTCTTTCAAACCACCCGATCCGAACAAAGATAGGTCAGGAATCAAAGCAGCGGAGAACCCTGTTAGAACGACTGGCGAAGGGACCCAATCTTGTTGCCTCGCAAGTCGCCGGGCAACCCCCGAACACGTGCCGCGGCGAGCCCCGAAAAAGCGTCTCAAAAGACGCATCTGGCCAAGCAAGATACCATTTGGTAATGGCTCTCGAGATAAATTCGCCTCAAACGCTTCACATGCGGATGGATCGGATGGTGTTGCTTCTCAAGCATTAGATCATGCAAAGCCCCACCAAAAATACCCAACCCACTCAGGAGCATGCACGGAATTGGGGTAACGCCCAAAGGCGGGTTGCGGATTTGCGACGCTTCGGACGTCGGAACTCGGGCGAATTCGACCTCTCGACACGGATGTGGAGGGAGCAACCGGTCAAGGAGCAGATGGTACAACCCCCAAAAGGATGTGTATTGATTTTAAAAATATGGGGTTCCAGGATTGTGCCATCTACTCTGAAACCACTGTAGATGATGAATCAAGCCCCCCGTCTCCAGAATGCATTTTGCTTCTCCCACCGCCCGAAACCTATTCCGCAAAGAGTGGAGCAGTTTGCAACCAACGTGAACCAATTCCCAAACACTTCATTGTACCTGGACCTGCGAAGGGATGTCCAATGGAGATCCCTAGGTAGTGTAGGTGCTTCCATCGGTGACCCCTTTGAAGGTGCTGGTATGAAATTACTACTGACTATATCACATGGCCACTTCGACCACCGAAACCTTCCAATCTAGGGAAACTAGGTGGCCATAGTAGCCATGTATACTCATACCCAAACACTCCATGTATGGCATATTTACCTACATTGACCCCCAAAACCACCCCAATGTCTAGGTATATATGCCCTACATGAAATGTCTGGGATATAGCGTTGTAACACCTTAAGTCTGGACATCCACCGACAAGGCTCGATCAGAATCACTGGAGCACTCCGTAGTGCCTTGATCGAAGACGCAGCGAAAGAGCTCAGAAAACGTGACCCGCTTCTTCAAAGTGGCAATTCTTCTATCCCTTTGAAAGGAGTTGCCAGGCTTTGGCCTTTTCCACTACAAGTACCATGATCTACAAAGAGGCTGGGTGTCAAAAGGTCACGAACTGAAGAACCTTGCGCAAATACCATGCATTCTTGAACTTTTGGCGGGTGCCTTCAAGCTGGAGATACAAAGTCTACCTCCAAAAAAGAACTGGTTCAACTAAAAAGCTCCGTCTTAATGGTCTATCTCCTGTCCTCAGCACTTGGCTTAGTTAGTTGAAGAAACATCAACTCACCCAGTGCGCTGCTCCCTCCATCGATGCTCTCAGCCGCACTGGATTCCACGCCCACCGCAAAAAACGGACCGGCAAGGTGGGGGTTTTGACCGCACCGTCACCGCGAGAGGCACTTGAAATCAGCTTCCAAGAGAGGTTAAGTGACCTTATAGGACCCTACTGGGGTACCTATGGGATAGTCTATAGGGTCATTCAACCTCTGTTGCTTGGAAGTGGGAAAGGGGACCCTGGAAGACTACTGTCCTCTACAAAGGAGGTGCCATCCACAAACAGGAGGTGAGTGAATCAGCATCACCCGCACACTCTATGTAATTATTGCAGTGCCTACGTTGACCCGCCAATGTATATACGTATGATGCTATACATGCATATAGTCTATCAGTGCGCCAAGGAGTCCTGGAGGGCTTCATTGGCCGGATCGACGTACCAGTGCAACGAAGGTCCTGGATGAGAAGAATACTACTGCCAAAGTGTCTCCAATCCCCTCTCAAAGAGTATGTGGATCCATGGGTGTCCATAAGTTATAAGTTATGAAACCTTTCTATACCAGGATCATCCTGTCTGGGTGTCCTGGCTAGACTACCCTACCCTACTTATAGGTCTCCAGACAGGGCACCCAAGTTGGAAGTGCTAGGTAAGTAAGGTTACGTATGGAAAACCTTTAAACGAAACTCGCCTCGCGCAAAAAAATCCCACTGGAAGACTGACGGCCGAGTCTGGCATGATTACAAACACCCAAAGGAAAACAAGCTTGGGAGAAGACTTGCACCTGGAGCAAGGACGCTACTAGGGGCTCCTAGAGTAAGAATCCCAAGGATGGATTTCTGGGCCCAAAGAAGAACACCTGGAAACCCTTGCCAACCTGCTTGTTCCAATATGGAAAACGAAACTCATCATGACTTCCACCATCAAAAGCTTGAAACATGTCATGTCATGTATCTAAAATAATATATATATATATGGTCCTGAACAAGTACATTTTTTTTGCAACCAAAACCGGGTTTGTCACAATCAATCAACAGAATAGGATAAATACTTCGATCACTGATCGCGAGAAGCCGAGTTTTCCACTGCTAAGCTCGGGTCTTCCGGCGTCGAACGCATGTGAAAAGGACCGGTTGCTTCGTTCGTCCATACGTATAACGGCGGCCATCCAAACAACCGCTCGGAGCCAACGCTCGCTCCCACACGCATCTTGCTGAGCAACTCAAATCAAAGGTTTCCTCAGTGCAGCATGGCTCGAGTGACAGTTGGGGATGAGAAGCACGCAATCGCAGGATCCACGAACCCCCTCTCTCTCTATATTATATATATTGATTCTAACTGTATTACTACAAGGACGCTATTAGGTGGAGGCCATCGCAAGTAGGTTGGCCTCCATCGTTACTAGATGGTTACTAGCAACAAAAAGTTACTAGTAACAAGGCGTAAAATTGGTTAGGTTTGGCTCCCCAAAGGGGCTCCCAAAAGAATGTGTTAAATGCGGGTTCCAGTACTGTGCTCCAAGAAAAGCAACACCCCAATTGACTTGGTCCACTATTCTTCACATCCTTTTGTTTCACCACTTCCGCGCCCTGTTGCGACCTGTTGCCATTTACAGAGAGTAATGGTCCTTTTTTCATCTGAAACGCTGATCAAGGATGATCCAGGTCTTCCACTTCCATGATGATTCCAGTTCCATTGGAATGCCAAATGCCAACTACAAAAACAGGTGTTTTCTCATGCTGGCTCATGCCTTTGGTGCTTTGCCCATGGTTTTCGCACTTTCGGAGCTTGCTCCCACCCTCTTGGGGCTTCCCCTCCTGGGAATGCCGGTGAGTCCAATCGAGTCCACCACCTGCGAAGTTGATGAAGTCTGCAAAAGCATGGGTCAAAGCCTCCATGATTGTGCCAAAACCGGTGAGAAGTGAAGTCGGGTGCTGGTAGTCCTCCATTTTCGCTTCAAGTCCACCCTTTTTTTCTCCACATTGTCATGCCCGCCGGGCGTTCGCCAACATCAACCGCGGTGGTTTAAGCCATTCAATGTCATTCAATGATCAATCAACACCGAAATCTCTTTTGCACCCCCCAAGGCATCCCAACACCCCCAAGGTATCCCAACGCCCCCAAATATATCATATCATTGACATATACATCTGTGAGCAGTAAGGCATCTGGCCACGTTGCCGACTCCCCACGATCCGACCCACTCGAATGACGGGTAGACCGACCGCCTCAGAGCCCGCGACTCTCTCGAATCGGAAAGGACTCGGATCGTGATCGAGAGCTGCATCCACCGATTCATCAAGTTCCGAAGTTCCAGGACCTTCATTGCGTGACCTCTTTGGAGTCTCTGTTTGTGACCTTGTACAGACCTATATAAGTGACCTTATTGTAAGTGGGATATCAAAGGGTCACGTACTGAAGGTCCTGGCTCCATGAATTATATGACTCCTCTTAAGGATGACCAAATCAAAACTGATGAGACACTAGGCCTAGGATAGTTTCTTGGATGGTTTGGGTATGTCTGGGCATGTCTTTGGTCTTTGGCGATCTGTCGAAACGAAGCAAGCCCGAACTCTCTCTCCCTTTCCATCCTGAAACATCGCGTAAAAACCAACGAAGCCCCGGTGTCCAAATCCGACAATAGCTTATGCTTCGACAAGAAGTTCACCCGCAGAATGTGTGCGGCCACTAGCACCTCGGATCGGTATTTCGGCCCAGGCGACCGGTCGCAACGATCGACGAAGCATCAACCAGCTCCTCTAGCTCCTCTCTGTCGCAAATGGCAAATCCAAGTGATGGAATCTCTGTGCTGACCAAGCTAAGCTTGGAGAACAACATGTACGAGCAAGGGTGAACGACTGATAACGACTGCCTTCTTCATATCCATGGCATATAAAGCAGCACGAGGCGAGATGATGAACGAGGCCACTGTTGCAATAAGCAGGCAGGTGCTAAACAAAGAACCATTAATTACAAATAAAACATTCTCCAGAAATGCCTATCATGTTAAGTAATATAATATATAGTCGATCATAACATGTCACAGCGGTGTGCACCCTCAAGTTCTCTCCACCGGACAAAGCTCGAAGTAGGTGTGCTGTTCACTCCCGGTGACCGGGAGAAGCTGCAGGCTTCTCCAGTTCAGAACTTGCATCTCAGCCAGGGTGCGGGGATGGTATTCAGGAAGATGCCCACGTACTCTGCCGACTCTCCAGAGTAAGTGAAACCTTGAACGCGAGCACTGAGGTGAAACCACACAAATCTCACAAAAGCGTGCAGCAGTGCAGTGCGATGGCGATGATCTGATCATCTGCTTTTGGAGTATGATTCGGGGGAGGGGCTCGAAAGCTAGAATGTGGGTGAGCCAGCTGGCCATTTTCCAGCCCTCAGAGCCAGAAAAGCACCTTCTCCTGCTTGTTTTCGATCTTGTGGATTTAACAGGCAAAAGAATTTCATCATCTAAGAAGCTGATGAGGGAGATGGTGCTGGTGACGTAGAAGAGGATCCAAACACCTCGACGAGAAGAAAGCGAAGACGACGATTGTCGGGGGAACGACGAGAAGCGACGTCTGCGCGTTTTTGTTGGAAGCAAATCGAGAATCGGTTTGATTCCTACCTAGCACATCCAACGTGAGCCTATTGGAGACCTATGAGTACTAGTATACATGGTAGGGTGGTCTAGCCCGCCAGGACACCCCGGTCCCGGATGATCCTGGTACTGTGATCTGTAGGTTGATAGGGCACTGGTCATCGCTGGTCCTCGCTGCACCAGATCGCAGCACCCGATCTTCCCCACGCATCGACGGGGTCGGTGGCTTCACACCACGGACCCTTCGGCGTTTGGCCCAGGCACACGCCACTGCCGCTTCGATGAACAGGGGAGACAAGGTGATCTTTCCTGCTGGGGGGCCGGGCACACACTGATTCACTCAAGCCCTTATCACACCCAGCATCTTGAGGTTCGCCCAGTTGCGTAGAAATTCCTGTGACTATGGCGATTTGTGGCCATACTGGGCAAAAATAGTTCCAAACTATTGACCAGTGGCAATTTGGAGAGTGTGACTTGAGGAATTCTCTTTCAGGCACTGGCCCCGTTCTCAAGCAAACCATAGCCAACCCCAAATCCTTGACGCATGGATTCTCCACCCGTGGACTCAAATCGTCAAGGTTCCTCCTGGTCCATCGTTCAAAGCTGCAAAAACAAAGTTAATCGATGAAGTCTGCAGCACTTTTGGCTGCAAAGGACCAATTGAAACCCCGAAGCCCTTCGGAAAGTGCTCCACTCCAGCACAGGTTCTTCATGATCCATCTGATGTCCATATGGTGTCCATGTGGTGTCCATGCGGTCCATCTGCCTGGTTTCTGGCCCACTTTTGGTGATTCTCGGTCTTGGACTCACTCGTGTTTAGTCAAGCAAAAATGGGCCAATCCAAGCTGGGAAGCCTGCTCAGCTAGCTCGCTTCCATCAGGTCTTCCGCTTCATTCCGCTTTCTTCGGGCTTGGACTCACACTCCGGTGGATCCACCCAAACAGGTGAGTCGGTGGATCCCTTGTTGTTCCCTGCCTCGCACAGCAGCGTAAAGAGCGCGACGGCAGGAGGACATGAGGACAACAGAGGACAAGAGGAGGACACAGGGTTGGCCAGCGCAGCCAAAGGACAACAGCAGGACAAAAGGAGGACTGTGACTAGACTAGAGGAGGACAAGATGACACAGACCCTGGACACAGAGTTCAGGGGCGCGGCCAGCCAGTGTGGCCAGCCCTCTTTTTCCTACGAGAGAACCCCAACGGTAAACTGTTTGAGGACTAGTCGATTCTGGGAGGCGAGCAGAGCAGAAAAGCCTTAGCTGCGGCGACTGCCGACCGTATCCTTGCGATGCCTTGGCTTGTAATCCTTGTCTCAAGCATCAATTTCCGGGGTCTCAAGACAACATCGAGACAAGGCTTGCCTTGTCTCAGGTCGGAGGAGTCATTGCATGTCATTGCCTTGCATTGCCTCCCTGGACCAAACGAAACCAGTGGACAAACATGGACAGACGTGGAACAGCCCTGCGGTCCTTGAGGGCTGGCTTTTCGAAAGGCCGCCAACTCGAAGACGCACCACAATCCTCAGTGGCACAGCCCTTCCGTCGGTGAGCAAGTGAGAGTGGACAACGATCCGAACTAACAAATGCGGAGGTGGACAACATCTGCTTGGAGAGGAAACCTTGTCTTTCAAGTCATCTTCCACTTCCATGATTGTTTCAGGGCGTGTAACTATGGAGCAGTTCGAACTCATGCCATCTTATTGACAAAGTGATTTTAAGGCCGCAATTGACATCATTTACAGTCTTCACCACTTCTCATGATCGCTGTCCACATGCTTCTTGGCCAGAAACGACCCCCAGGTGGGTCTTTCGCCCCCTTGACCATCTCCAGCCCGAGCATCTGGAGAGGTAGGGTGCGCTCCACAGCACTCGCAGCTCTCGTGAGACGGAGAGGATTCCGCCGATGCCGTAGATGCCGCGTTGCATGAGCTTTTCGTCGGCCTGGGGGGGGGAAGAACGAACCTTTTAGCAACTGGAGGGTGAGGGAATGCCAAGGTTCCTGAAGAGGCAGTACAATTGAATACAGGCTCTTGACAGGAAGAGACCTGCTCGAAAAAAGCTTCAACAAAATGCATGCATGACAAAATTCGATCAAACTCCTAGTTCACCTAACTTGCTACCGGCTTTCAACTCATGTTGCCTGCATCTGGCGAAGCAGGACTGCCCCAAAACGCCCCGGTCGTTCGGTGGTGCCGCCTGGTGGATGCAGCAAACGTCCACAAAGCACGCCTCTGAGCAGCAAATCTCCGGCAGCTCGGGCAGGTGCGCCTCGGACAGACCGCTCTCAGTCGATGGAGGTGGATGAGGAAGGGGTTCGATGGTCACGACCACCACGGATTTTGGACACCCAGAGCCGAAACCAGCTGTTTAAGCTTTGAAGTCGACAGCATGTGCTAGTCAAGCTGCTCATGGCCCCAAGAAACCGTAATGGCAAACCTCAAAACTACCTACTTAGCAGCCTAGCACCGAGCTTCACAAAGAAAATATTCCAAAGGTGTATTGGCTATTGTCCTCATCCCGGATCCCGCGCTTTGAATCAAGAGTCACTTTCCTGCACCCTGCCGTGCACATCCTTAAATATCCCTTTAAAGAGCTAAAAAGCTCCCTTTGGCAGGAGACTTGCCCTTGCAAACGTCGCTGGCGACGACGGCGCTTTCCAGTGGCACCCGGCGTGCGCCGCCCAGCCCATCGTCTCTCCGCCAAGCAGCCATGATCAAGGGACACCAAATGGATGCGATCATCCCTAAGGCCATGACCCAAAAGCCCAAGGGGCATTCCACCTCAACCGTGAGGTCGGCATTCTATCTAAGGGGAGCCAAGTATGCAAGAGATGGTGTGATGTGGTATCAATTGGTGCTCCACCCAACGCAATCTGGCACCACCCAACGCACAGGATGGCATACTGTTGACAGGCGAGGTTGTCTGTTATACCGTTCCCTTTGCCACTTTTGGCCTGGTTGCGTTGTTGCTTGCTCCTCCCTTTAAAGTGCGTTGACTAAGTGCAGCATGTCAAGTACAAATATATGTGTGTAGAGTAGCATTCATTCAGGTGCACTGCATGCAATTGTGCTATGTGGAACTGGCAAACATGAAGCCATGGCACAGCCCATTCCAGACTAGCACAGCTAGTACATGCGTGGGCCGTTGTCTATGGGAAGGTGTTTTGGGCTGGATGCGTTTTGCTGTCGTTCTTGTTCTTGGTGCACGTGCCGATTTCTGTGCACAAGCAAAAACCATGCAACACACAACACGCTCGCGGTCTTTATGGGCTACACAAACCTGAGGTGTGCACATACCAAGTTATCCATGGATATGCACTATATGGAAACGTATTTTGTGTTCTTCCTTGTTGGTTCACAGTGGACGAACATGAAATTCTTGGATGGTGCGGTACCTGTCAGGTGCTGAAGGATTTCCTCCATCAACAAAAAGGGTCCGCTATCAGTTCTCTTTTCCCTGAATCGATCAAATAAACACACGTTCACAGCAAATCTCACGCATGATGTCCTCCATCATGGGGATTGATCCCGTTACATTACGCCAATGTTTGGTTTGGCTTCTGCTCCTCTTCTCTTCGCCAAGCAAGTTTACCGGAGTTGGGACAGAGTTTGTAACCCTACGGAGCTTCAGAACTGATGCCTTTGCCGCCCCACCATAGAGGACGGGACGTTCGGTCGCTTCTGGATGCCCTGAAACACCACCCCCGCGCCCCAAATGCGCGGACGGTTGAGAACCGGAGTGGAGATGACCTCCTTTCCTCCACCCATCTCTGTTTCTGCCTACATCCAGGCAGCCTCTGTCTCCACATTATGGGAATCGGTGAACTCCGCCACGTAGATGAAAGGCATGGGAAGCACCTTTGGAGCATCACTTTCGGGAAACCACAAGACAAGCCACCAATAGACCAATATATAGAATATGATATATTAAAATATGTATAAGTGAATAGGTTACAATATTATGATGATAACAACTTTAATGCTATAGTTAATATTCTAACTATTATTTTCGTTGAATTCTATATATTATCTGACGACGCAACCACCTGCCCAGTCAGAAGGAGAGCGGCTCATAGATGTTCATGTTCAGCTCGCCCCCCACACGGATGTTCGTGGCCCCACATGCAAACAAACCTCTAAGGTTTTGGAGGTGGGTTTTAAGAGGGTCCAGTCATACCCTCTGAGGAGGAAAAAAGGGTCATATGCGGGTATACCGGGCCCTCCTGGCACCCACCGCAGTCCCACCTTCGAAACGAAGCTACGACTGGCCTGTCATTGGTCTTTTCACCATCGACGGGCCCACCCGGACCGAAGGCGAGCCCCCATCCGTGTCTGAACACGCGTCGAAATGGAGACCGGTGGTCTCCGGTTTCGGGTCCTGGTGATTCGAATGATTGGGCGTCTCAGTTCCGATGTCTGCGCAGTTTGTCTCAGTTCCTCCATCCGTGGCTTCTCCAGCGATGGGTCGGGTAGGGTCTAAGCGATGGCTCTGAAGGTGGGCCCGCCTCGAAGAGGCACAAAAAGAAGGCGGTCAGTGCTGCCACTGCCCATGCAACGACCACCTAGAGCAAGGTTCTGGCACTTGGACAAGGTTTCTGGTACTTGGACAGGACACGAAGGAGAGTAAGTGTGCGTTTTTTCTCTCTTGGCAGGAAGGGAGGCAGGAACAAAGGAACACGTGTTGGCCAGGATTGGAGCTGAAGAGCTATTTCAACTATAGTAACTATAGGGTGCCTTTTGTAAATGACTCGCTAGAAAGTCTGACTTCTGACTTCTGTGCATTCTTTGAGGGATCAATAGGGGGCCCCCTAAGAGATCCGCGCATGAAACGCACACCCCATCGCGGCATGCTCAGCAGTTCCCAGTTCCCGACGAAACACACGGTTGAGTGCTCATCCGTTCCCATGGCGGCGCTTCAAGCGCCAGCTGTGAGTGGAGGTTCCGGAAAACCCAAAAAACACATAAGAAATGAGGAAATATGATCTTCTGGAGTTGGTGGAGAAGATGTTTCAATCTCATCTTGAGACCCATGTTTCATGTTACTAAAGGACCCAGTTAGAGTTGGAAGCCGTTATAAATAAATGGATGCTTCCACCATCTTCCACCAACAGCTACTGTACTTCCCATGTAAAGTTAAAGGATCTCAAGCAAACAATGTTGTTTCGGTTTCCAGGATGTTCCTTCTCCCCCCACCTGCAGGAACTGCCTATGTTCTGTGGTTTGAGACGTTTTTACGAGGGCGCAATGAGAACGGCTCGGTGGGAAAACCGGTTTATCCGTTTGTCCCATCTGTCTAAGTCAATCGAGGCCGGTCTTGAAACTGCTAGCAGCTTCCTCTTTTCGAAACCCTAAGGCTCCAGGTACATTCTAAGAAGGTGTTGGGGGTGGGTTTAGAGGGTCCAGTCATACCTTCTGAGGTACTTGGAGCCCTAGGGAAAGAGACCCCCTCCCAAGCTCCAAGCGCCCAACGCCCCCGACGGCCAATTGACACCATCGTCGAATGGACCCTTTTGATGAAGGTGGTTGATGTAGGCATGTACATATTGACCCCCTGAAATCAACTTGCCTTTACCTGAAATCAACCACCGCCCATGTTTAATAGACATGGCCAGTCCCCATCCGTGGTTTTATGGCTTTTTGTTCGAGTCCAGGGGCTGTGAGCTGGTTCGACTCAAGCAGCAGGCTCAAAGCTTTCCACTTCCCATCGGTGAGCCAAGTGTGAGAAAAGAAGATGTCCTCACCACACCAACGCATCGAGTCCGAACGCGCCAAGATCAGCCCCTTCCACCATGGCATGGGGGTAGGTATGAAAGTGAGAGCCTTGTACACACGAAGGTGAAGGGACATGTGTAAGGAGGCTTTGCTTGGAGGTGACATGTTGATACATATTGATACTGTCCCTCTTCTTCAGGGCAAATGAAGGTTTGATGAAGTCACGTGCCTCAAACTTTTGAGCACATACATGGGCATGGGTTTAATAATGTATGGTCTAATGGCCCGCATTCTGTGAATTCTGTGCCGAGCTCGGTCGCACCTGCGTCGACTTCCTTCGTCGCACAAGCCCAGTTGTGCCAGGCACTTCCGGTCCAGATGGGTCCCGGAGGGCTCAACCATCGAACCCCACCAGCACCAAAAAGATTACTCCTAGCTTAGACCCCCTCCTATGTCCACATACCCAGGAATTACTTAAGGCAGGGGCCATCCAAAAAGTCTTTCCACAACTCCTGCGGGCTCAGACCGCTGACGACGACGGATTCAGCGCCCAGCGTCGATGGAGGTGGTGGGCTTGGATTGGCTGTAGAACCTGGTCGCAGCCGATGTGCAGATGGGGCAGGGGCTCCCGAGTGGCTGGCCCTGCTAGCGGGCTGCTACGGAGCATGCCGGCAGGGTGACGCACCGGTTGGTGCGTGTGAAAACCCGGATGAAGTCCTCACCCGGCTTGACTTTGCAAATGAAGTCCTCACCTTGCGAATCCTTCTTGGCCTTGGAGTTCCTTCTTGGCCTTGGAGTTACCAGTAATATGACCGGTTAGAACAAAATCCGGGTGATCCATCCATCCCACGATCAGGTCCAACGCCATGATCGGAAGCCCGAGACTCTCCATCCACGAGCAGCTCGACGACGAGTGGCCCGAAAGCATGGTTTCACCACGTGTGAAGTTAGAATGTGAGTTGTGTGTTAAGTGCAGATGTGTGAAGTGTTAAGTCTAGTGTGTTGAGTAAGTGTGTGGGTCTCTGTGTGTCTTCATTTGGATCCCAGTGGCTTCATTCGCTCTGATGCTTTCATCTCCCTCGGCTTGCTCCGCCACACATGCCCCCCTGGCGGGCCGATGCTCGGCGCGCGCGGTTCGCTGACCAAAGCTGCATTCACTGGGTGTGCATCTTTGCGGATATCCTACTTATCCTACTTATCTTTGGAAAAAGACGCCGTAACGGCATTTTTTCCTGAAAAGGCAATTATTTGTGCCGTTTCGAAGATCCAGGTATGAACACCCAAACACGGCTACTGGGTTTGCATTGCTGCTAGGGAGGGAGGGCAGGATATGTAAAGTAGACGAACATCTTTGCTACTGGGTTTGCATTGCTGCTAGGGAGGGGGGGGCAGGATCACAAGATATGGCCTCAAGAGGGCCTGGGATTGCCCCAAACAACCCAAAAGATCCCAAAAGTAACTTTGAGAGGTGATGAGAGGTGAACCTCACCAAATGGGGAGGGATCAAAACTTGGAGTCCTGGTCCACCATCTAGGTTGAGCTTCCTCCTGGTTTGGATCCAAGGCCGGCCATTTTGTGTTCCTTGGGAGTTCTTCACTGGACTGCACGCGGCAGTGGCCGGACTGCAGTGGCCGGTGGCTCTCCTCCTCGCCACGCGAGAACGGATTGCCATAAAGCTTTGGGACCAAGACCCCAGAACCGTCCATTTACCAGCGCCAGTTTCTTCAAAAGGACTACAGTAAGTGGCCCCTCAATCCAAGAAGTATCTGAAGGTCACTTTGAAAGTTGGAGACTTTGAACATCTTTGAATTAATATATCATTTCCAAGACTTTTGCCTCTTAAAGACACCAAAAAAAAATCCCTCCTTCCCGTGAGACCACCGCGCCAGCTGCCAACTTCCCACGGCTCCGGCTAGTGCGCGCCAGGCGCCTTGCCGCAAGGTGCGCCGCAAGGGGATGCCTCGCAGGAGGTCCAGGTCGCAATCCTCAGGCGTCCACGCCGCTCAGCCGCTGCGAGGCGTTGTGCGGGTGAAATGAAAAGGGTGAACGAGATTCAAGCACATGGTGAGTGACTGCAGAACATGTATCTTTGGAATCCTTTGGAATCATGATCGTGTGGTGTTCATAGTTGTTTTTCGAATATGGAAGCCCTGTTCCCCCTGCCCTCGGAATCGGTTGAAGACTCTGACTGGGGTAAGCTGATCTCTGGTCAATGATCAAATCTCTATCTACTGTGTACTTGTGGATCTTATATATGCAATATGTTCGCTATGCACACCCAAAATTCAAAACCAGGAACAAACCGGTTTCCCCTCCATCCAACAAACATTGGAAAACACGCTGGTTGTAAAATGCTGCAAGTTGTAACTCAGCCAAGCCTTTGACCAAAAGCAGGTAATAAACCAACAAGGTAGCTACCTGCAAAAAAAAAGAACAAGATTCGATATGGGAAGCCGCCTGCATCCTATTGTTTGAGGATGTCATATGGCCATCCTGAAGTATACATACACACCCTGAATGATCATGGAAGCAAAACACCACCTCTTGGGCACCTCTTTGGTATTCAGGAGCCATGTCTTCCTTTCGGAGCCATGTCATCCACTTCCATGATAATTCCGGGGAGTGTAGAACATTGAACAGTCCCAAAGTACTCATCGTGTTTGCCCGGGCATCCATAGACTTTGCCGCGACAGAAGAGAGCACGCAGTTGCACTAAATGAGCTACTAAAGAATCGAGAGGAAGGGTCTCAAAGCAGCTAAGGACTCATCACGGCCACTATTATATAGCCATTTAGGGCTCCAAGTGCCTTCTCAAAAGGTACTTGGACCCTCCTGGTACTTACATAACAGTGTCTGTATGTGGATACAAGGGATAATGCCCCAGTCCTTCTCCTCACGCGTCCCAGGTGCTAGGACATTGCGATGTGCTTCTGTCAGGGTCTTCGAGATCTTCGGTCGGTGGTAGTCCGAGACCGCCTCGGTGGTCGTCGAGAACTCTCCCCCACGGAGGGCATGGTGAAGTCCATGGGACCGAAGGACTTGAAGATATGCTGAAAAACAACCACCCCATTGATGTACATTAATATCTGTGCAGTATGTTGTCATACCGTATGAGTCATAGAGTCATACCCATATATGCAGTGTCTGGGCATCACCCCAGACGGCGCATCATTCGGCTGCCGTGAAACCACCAGGCCCAACTTGTACAGCTCGCGCCAGGAAGCATCTATCCGTGGGGTTCGGTTCTGCCGCCCGGCTCCCACGCTCGGGTCGCTCGCACGCGGCTCGCTCGCATCAAGGCACCGCTGAATTGTCAAAGGTCACACTTTTGATGCCGGGCGTTCCCAAGTTGCCTGGCGCCGCACCGGTGTCGGTGCGAGGTGCGACCGACGGTGGACCAGAAGAAAAGACGCCGCCCACCCGAGCCATTTGAGGAGACGTGGCGTCAGAACACTCTGGGCCCTTCCCATGGCAGTTCTGGACGTTCAACGTCGGCTTCCATGTTCGACACGTCGTCTTCTTCGCGACACCACGGCCGCCACGGTCTGCGCCGGTCCCCACATGGGGACCAGTACAAGTACTGCGTGCGCGTGTGGGCGAACCTCCCAGCGACACGGCCAGCTTCATCCAGCTCGATCCCTCATCCCAAACCCCAGATCCCTGCACTGAGCCCCAAGTAGAACTGACGAAGCAGTCGATTCTGGGTCGTGGTCGCATGGCGCGGTCGCTTGGGGCTCCAGGCTCTTTGGGCTTCCACCTGTCGTGGCCACAGTCAGGACAACGAGGGTAACGGGGTGTGTCTCCGCACGTCGATGGGGTGGTGGGTTCGGATGAGCCCATCTCAGATTGAGATTGGCAGCCAGATGCAGCCAGGACATGAGGTACTGACTGAAGGCAAACCAGCCAAGAGCAGGACATGTGCGTTTCGAGCAGTTGAAAGGCTGAATTCAAAGACAAAGGACAACTTCTGACTTCTGACAAGGCGTTCAGCATGACCCTTGGTTCGGGCTCTCATAATGCAATATACAACTATAGTTGACAACAGAGTTGGGTGCGTCCGCTTCAGGTTCATTGCAGCTCTGGCATTTATTTGAGTCATGACTTCCCAAACGACTTCAAAGCAACATTTTTGATATGTTTGATGATTGTCTCTACCTCACCAGCTCCTGAGACTTCAACAAAACTATCAACCCCCGGCCAGTTGCCAAACCAAGGAAGGGCTACCAAAACCCAGACTTCTATCTCTGATTGGGCAGCTGAAAGCAGGAACAGCTATCATCTGCATCCAGTCCCCCCAATCAAGCAAGATTACTTGAGTCCTAGCAGGGCAACTGAACGGCACATCATCACCTCATTGGCTCCTAGAGTTGGCTAGAGAGCACGAACCTGTACCATCGAGCAACCAGGGTGGAACGAAAACTACCTCATCAAAATGTTTCCCAAGGCGATCACTACTATTATGTATATATACATATAATATATCCATCGATGCTCTGAAAAGCCACTGGCGCATCGCCTGGCCGCGCCAACGGCCTCTCCCGCATCTACCCGACCCCGCCATCGGTTTGCTCCGAGTTCTCTTGCTCCATCAACTCGCTCAAGCGCGTGCCACAGGCTAAGGGGTCCTGAGGCGTCACTTCCCCTGAAGGCGAAGGGGGGAGACCGCTTCCAAGTCGTCAGGTGGGGTGGCCACCTGAGAGGTGAAGACCAAACGTGCCAGTTCTTGGCAGGTGACCAGTTTGGGATCCTTCTGTTTTGCCCCAAAGGGATCAAATCCTGGTCCTCCCCAAGAGGCAAATCAGAAACATGGTCCAATCTTCCGGAAATCCGATGGAATGATCTCGAATGTGAAAAATACGCGACATCCCCCTGCCTGGAGGAGCTTCGAGACTATGCCGAGTTGTGCCCACACCACATCTCCCCACATCTCCCCGCCAAAATCAACAGACTCATCTCATATCTATTTATATATATCTAATATCTTCTCCATTCTCCCTAGAGCTCCTGGCCCATATAGCTACTAGTTCGGTGGTTCGGCTTTCCTGGCACCCACCCCAACCATCGAACCTCACGGAGGTAGGCCAAGGAGCCCTTGGAAGGGTCTATAAGTCCCTACAAGTGTACCTATCGAAGGAGGCCAGGACGCTGCCGTCACCTGTGCCCGGGTGGGACACCGGTGGGGCACTGGCACGACGCGGAGCATGGCTCGCGCCATGGTCGACGATGACTCTGCAACTGAGCGACATCTTCCTTGGATGCGAGCAACGAAGGTTGAAGAACCCATAATAAGAAAGCTGTACCTGGGCCCCCTCAGAGGTGTCTAAAGATAGCTCCTTAGAGGTTAAGGGGTGTCCGGGTGTCCATTAACCCCTCAGGGGGCCCTGGTATGTTCTGTACGGTATATCCCATTTGGTGGGGCCCAGTGGATCATGGTTACGTTGCAGGGCGGATGAGGAACAAATGCAGCTTCCGTTGCTGTCTGGGACAAGTGACCGATACACTCCTACACATTGTGGTGGTTATATTCATCGATGATATATATATATATATATTATATATGCCAATGCCAGTCCCATGGAGTGTCTGGGTGTGTTAAGAGATGTCATCATCGTCGTCATCATCAATCGACTTGATGTTGTGATGCGGAACCTTTCACACCCCGACCCCGACCACATACTGCTATCTGCTCATCAACAGCTCTGATACTCAGAGTGGAAAATGATTACTCAGCTGTGCAGTGATGAGGAAGGGATTCCAAAACATATTCATACAATTACAGTGTAAGACAGTATATAAGTCCTACAGCTTCTGGATCCTCATGGCCTATGATCTGACTGAACTGGTTGGACCCGTTTTGGGCAAAGTCCCAACTTGCACCTCGTCAGTGACGACAACACTGTGCTCAACGGCTCTAGCATGTTTGAAGTCGGAAAAAGATGCTGCTTCCGCCCGGCTCCTTTGCTTCTGTTTTGAGTCGCAGTTCCATGTACTTACAGTAATCTATATGTTTTCAGTCCACAATCCAAATGCTGTTGTTCAGCAGGTGACTTGTAATTATCAGGTCACCCACGCCGTACCCCAGCTCCAGAAAGGCTACGTCTTTGTCATGATCAATCCTTGATGTTTATACAGTTCCTGAGAGTAAGTGGTGACTCAGGCTCCCTACATCTCTACCAAGAAAGACTTTGATGTGCTGTGTGTTACTGGCACACCTTTCGGCTGCACCACCCCAGTGCTTTTTGGTGCCACCTTTCAGTATCGAACGAACGCCCACCTCGAGCCCGTTCAAAGCATGGCACCGAGGGGAAGCCGTAGCTCAAACCACTTGGACTTAAGGCACTTGGCATGTAGCCTGTCCGCGGACTCACAAACACGCAGAACGTGGGACTGGAATATGACTAAGTGTGACCTCACCTATGTCATACCAAGTCAGATCTTCCATAGGATGCAAAATGTCTGCCGAAATCGGCTGCCTATATGGATGAAACGGCAGAAATGGGGCATAGTTGAAAACCCCAGGCATGTCTTGCCGCGCCGTCGGCCGAGTGTGGAACGGTGCGAAGCGCCTACCCCCGGGGCCCGCCCGGGGACGAAAGTCACCCATGTTCCGCGTGGGCCGCGTGGGTTGAAGAACGGTGCTTGACAACCCAAAAAGGACACACTGGCGCCAGGGTACTGCCCCTGGGCGCATCCACTCACGGGACGGAACTCAAAACACACGAACTGGAACTGCTGGTGGGTTTGTTGCGGTGACATGGAGATGCTGAACTTTGGGGGCGAGTGCTGTCGTGAGAATGAGAGGTGATGGTCGAGCGCTGTTGTTGCCATGCTACCGGCTGACCAATGACATAATGAGCCGTTTACAGTTGCTTAGAGTCTTAGAGTTTGTGTTCAACCATTATGAACCTACATGGATCATAGTCTGCCTCATATATGCCACAAGTCAGCTAGATTGAAAAGTACTCTCCACCTCACTAACATGGAAGTGGATTCGCCCGTGTGTTATTTTAAAGGATGTAAAATGGTCAAGGCCTCCCCGGACCCGCCTGTGACTTACGCGGGCTCCGGAACCCGACCCACAACCCGCCACGAAGGAGGCGGTTTTTGGGAGAGTGATGGTGCAGAAAGGTTCAACCGGGGCTGGAGGTTGAAGGAACATGTGCTACATATTAGCCAGCACTCCAGCCAGCACCAGGTCACCACCAGCAGTGTGAGAGCTTCTTGCGCCGAAAAGGCGCTACTGAGCTACCTCTGCTCGTGGATCTCTTCAAGAGGCAGCTCCTGACCCCCCCGGAAGGCGTTGCTTCGCCTGGATTGGTTCCGCGGCTTCCAGTGATATGACTGGTCCCATAGCTGCTGGCGCTGGTCGCGCTGGTTTGAGGCTCCACCGTCGGCAGGCCTTTCTGCGGGAGGGGAGGATCAACATCGTACGTCCGGGGTTGGAGGATTCAACATCCTGTGTCGATTGATGCTGGATCCAAACTGGAAAGAAATCAGGGCATAGGTGCACCAGTGGTCTAGGGTCTGGAATCGTCACCGTTTTGAGACCGGTCAAGGAGCCATCCTCCTTCAGGGTCAAGGAGGAGCTCCGAACCTGTGGAATGGCCGCCGGGGCCTCCGGACTTCTCTGTGACGTGCACGAAACCCGCCCGACATCAGCTCGTCGACTCGGTTTCACCGAGGGAACTGGAACGGCTGGAGGGCCAGCACCACACTCTGGGGCCTGGGGATCTTGAAGCCCTCGCCTGAGATTAAACATGAATACTCCCCCCCCCCCGCTACAATAAAAGACGCATCTATAGTGTAGCCCTAGAAATCCAATTGACGATATTGTGACCTAGCCTGGAGATTTCAGAAGAAAGTTCCAATTCAGGTCCCCCGACTGGTTTTTTCTAGTCTTGGACTCCCAGAGCCTATGGTATGAGCATATGATGGGCCAACCCTGTCCAGCCTTCGCGCTCCTGAGATGCCTTGGGCGATCCAACGACGGTCCAACCGGTCTTCACCCGGCCAAGGGGCTTAGTTGTGCATGGTAGAAAATGGAAGTGTTCTTTCTTGTCATACAGGACTGGGAAACCAACATATTAGAATCATGAGCGCCACCGAGTAATCCAAGAGTACACCTATTTGGATCCTTCCACACCTCTGTCCGGAGCTTCTCCTTGCAGGACAGTTTGGAGCATGATAACGCTGCGTTGTCATGCCGCCATACCACCAGTAGATGGTTGAGCACTTCCAATGAGGCAAGAAAACCCGGTGTGCTCGCGGAATCGGGTCTCTCCACTTCTCAGGAAGCAATGGAAAGAAGATCCAACCTTTTAATGCTGTCCATTACTATAAACATATCCCATTGGAAAGAGCATGACCAGGCGACCAGGCTGTCCTGGCCATACTTCTGCGGGTCAGCCTACAGGTTCTCACCCCTGCTCACTCCAAGCGGCCTCAGCACTCACCTGCTCCACTGGAATTGGAGTCGGATCCTGAGATGGTGGGTTGCCGCGGACTCAGGGTGTGACACTGGCCAAGAGTGCTAAACTAATCAACCTCTAGAATGGAAACAAGCCAAGCATCACTTTCGCAATTGCAACTGGCATGTTGCACACACTGCGTGCCCGCAGCTTGCCCCATCACCACATCGGGAAGGAGCAGGAGGAGCACCCGAGCTTCAGGGCCTTCACTTGTCGAAAACACGTTCCAGAAGATTCTGGAAGGGCAAGGGTTCTTCAGAGTTGTGCTCTTCGAAGTTGTCAGTCTTTTGGGTCTTCGTTTTGGCTTTGGGGACCCCCCCGATGTGCTGGGGGATTCACTGGTGCCCCAGCTCTGTGCCAAGGAAGACGATTCTCAAGAGCCAAGAAGGGCGATGGCAGGCGATACTCTATTGACGTCGGCGATCCGGTGCCTACAGAATTTTGCATCCTCATCACAAGTGTCCAAATCAGATTTTGTTCCACTCTAGTTGGAATTGCGCAACGACCTCATGAACAACTGTCCATGAAGTAAATCTCTATGCGCACGTTAGGCCCCTCAAGCGAAAGCCACACATAACAGAAAAAATAAGCACACAAACTATAAATCATATTATAGTAATATTAGAATCTTAGATTCCATAGATCCGTATTCAGTAAGCTGCTCCGCTGTTGGCGGCATGCATCAACTTGAATCGATCTGTTCCCACATCTTGGTCGAAGGGTAGCTATAATATGCTATAATAGCATACGTAGTATGCATACGTTAATGATATAGCCAACCCAAGCACATCCGGAGAAAAAGACCAACTCAGGGTCTCCTTCCAAGAGGACCAAAAACAGTGAAGGATCCGCGGGAAGTTCACCCCTTCGCGTCGACCCGGAAAGCACCGGCCGGGTCCGAGGTCGCGACGCTCGCTCCTCGCCGCTCGATGACGCCACGGGCTCCAACTTCAGAAGGTGCCCCGGGCGCATGCCGCCCGTGCCCGAAAAGTACATGCTGCCTCACCAGCTGCATCCAGCATGCAGGTGCATGCAAGTGCGAAACCGCTGCTGGCCCTGGGGCCCCTGGGGCCCCTGGTGTTGTTGGGGGGTTTTGTAGGGTATGACCCGGTATGACCCGGTGTGCCCCAAAAGGTTGCTCAAGCAACAGCCAACGTGGCAAAGACTCCCTCCGGTACGCCGGCGATGCCCGGTACCCCTCCGTCTGGGTACTGCCGCAGCGGAGACCGGGTCTCCTGTCTTTTCGAAGGGCATTCTGACAGAGGAGTTTTGGGGCTATAGATGCTATAGGGAACATTTTATATAGATTAGATTTGACTTGATTAACTAATTAATATTAATTACAAGGGTTCCAGATGTTCCAAGAGTTGATGGCACACACACACACACACGCACTACACACACTAGATGTTTTGTAGACAGTGGTGATGATAAACCACCCTCTTGGGGATTCATGGAACCTCTCAATCCACCAAAACAACTCATATGGCGTTTTTCCGACCGCGCGGCATATCGCCGTATCGCCGCTGCATATCGCCGCTGCATCTCATCGCGCACCGACCGCCACGACCGTCCGGACGAAGCTCGCCTTCCAGATCGTTGCTGGCCAAGCGATCCTGCGCCTCCACGAGAAGTAGGTCGTAGCCATTGGAGGCCATGGCAAAGCAAAGGCCCATGTTCTTCGGGTGCTGGTCAAACCTGAAGAACTGGATAAAGCTTTTTGGATGCACAGGTTGGTCATATTAAGTCATGATGTCCGCAACGCAAGCGACGGCGGCACCGGCATGAAGGACCCACCAGTTTAGGAATATGAATGATGTTTTTTCTTGAGGATGGCTCTGTCTTTACTATGCATCCACATACCCTCTGAGGTGATTGGACACACTGCTATGTAGGTTTGGAAGGTCCAAGTACCTTCTGAGAAGGTACTTGGATCCATCAATTCTTCTTGGGGGGGGCACACGAAAACTTCAGCAAGCAGCTGCCAATAGTCCCAGAAAGTGTTGGATTGCCCGTGACCTGGAGCGGAAAAAAACACCACCCCGTTGTCACTGACCGCTGCAACAGGCACTGGGGACGGTGTGTTGGACCGCTTCAGGTCCGCAGAACTGCAGCTGCTTCAGGTCCAAGGCTCATCTCCGGATATGAACCTTCGATGCCATCCAGGGTGAGAATGGGGATGAACAGCCGCCTGCAGGTGGAGGGAGCATTGACATGCTGTCGTGCAGGCTTCGGCTGTTTGAAGGACCGGTCGAGACACAGGAAAACAAGGCATCTGATGCACATGAACTCCCCTCACCGGACCATAGCGGTTTCTAGGGTCGAATGGATCACCTCACCATACCTCGGCCTACCTCTTTTTCGGCGACCCAATAGAGTAAGGGTTCAATCAGGCGGACTGCTCCCGATCAGAAAAAGAGGGGAAGACCCGGAGCGTGGCAAGAAGACACAACGATGTTGCGGAACCAAGTCGGATCAAGCACTCCTCCGGTTTTCGCTTTGCGCCATCGCGCTGGGATCAAAGAATCGGACCCCTGACGAGAAAACACGTCCAATAGTCTAATTGACCCTTAATCAAAGAGAACTGAACCTCTCTTCTCTTCCATGCGCGCGCATGTGTTCTTCACCTTCTCAGAGAGTGGATTTGTAGGGACCTGCTCTTTGACCCCAAATCTCAAGGATCCATTGATATCATGACCTACCAGCAAGTGAGAGTAGCATTCCTAGGGCGATCGTGGCTCCCCGTGGCTCCCCGTGGCTCCCCATGGCTCCCGGCTCCAGCTCCGTCGTGCGGATGCGCCAACAGAGCTTCTCACAGCCTAGCGGCCCGTGGACGTGATGGGCGTGGAAAGCCCATGATTTAGGAGAACATGTGCGGGAGATGAACAGGTCTGGAGGGAAGTGATGCTGGCCCCAATTTTCAGGTCAAAGAACTTGATCTTGGGATTGGATAAGGCGTGGTAAGGATCTGGGATCCTGACTGCCAAGTAAAGAACTGAACCGTCTACTGACTGGATCTTGGACTGACAAGGTTCTGGGGTTGCCCTATTCCAGCAACACTGGACAGTGAAAGGGGATGCTTCTCGGAAACATCAGGAAGCACTGAACCTCCAAGGCCGGGGCCGGTTAAAAGATCTCTTTTGTATCATGGGAGTGGTCTCTGGTGGTATCCTATTCTTCATTACCTCCCCCAAGCTAGCTCTGGTGGCCAACAACTGTTGGAGAAAAACATAGAAACACATGCATGTTTTGCAAGTGAATGGTCCAGGAGGAATTCGTGTCCCACAAAAACACCACCATGATCAGAAACGCCACAGAAACACGCAGGACCCCTATGGACCTAGTCCATGACGAGGTCCCCCCCCACTTCGTGCCCAGGTGCCCTTCCAGGATCGACGTCCAGCACGCTCTTCAGTGAGCATGTAGATGGTGTGAAAGCTGGAGATCTCCTCACAAGCGGCTTGGTTGCGGCTTGGTTCCTGCCAACGCCTGAAACCCTGCTGTTGGGCCGGCACTTACGGTATACGGCCCTTCTCCACCGATCTCGACCGCTCCTAGAGGCTGTCGCCCTGTTCAGAGATGCCTAAATCAAGTCATGGGCGCTTAGCGATCCCTTCAAACGTCCTGTCGGGTCCGGGCAGGACACCGGGGCAGGACCGGTCCTAGTGAGTAACGTGAAGGTCTGGTCTGGTCTGGTCACTTCACCGGTGACGGAATGAATGCAGTTCTCATGCGGATCTCAGTGACTGTATGGGCAAAAGAAGAAGGTGCGGTGCTGGATGGCCTCCTTTGGGGTGGGCCACCATGATTCCAACATAACTACGTCACTTCCAGAGGTGTCCCCGTAGGTGCTCACGTTGAGCAATGAAAATGCCAACTCATATAGCTGGCCCTCATATAGCTTGGTTCTTAGTTCCACGTGTCTCGAGGTTTATCACGGAACTCCAGTTCCTTGGAAGACTTTTGCAAAAGAAGATCTTACACCTGCTCAAGTGTGAGTTGATTGCCATAATGTCCCTTTCCTCCTTTCTTTCTTACCTGAAGCTGAGGAGAACTCGTTGGGGGGTCGGGGGCGCCACTCCACCCAACGGACCAAAGCAAAGACACCGGTGTGGAAGAAACCCTGGAGACTTGGGAAAGCCTCTGGCTCGTGGAGATACATAGGTGTCCCATGGTTGCAGGGAAACCCGTGGTAGCTCCGAAACGTTCTTATCATCCAAGCACTGCATGTCTGCATGTATGTCTACGATTTGTCAACATTGACCCCTGAAACCTCAAAGAACAGTGTCTCAGTCAAGTGTTTCATGTGTGTCAAAACATGTTGCGATCTGCAGGGGTCTGCAGCAGGGATGCACAAAACGATTGAAGATCGCATGGAGCCCTTTCTTGGACCTAATAGAGCCAAAAGGACTTAAAAACACACACACACACCGATCTTGACTATCTTTTCAGAAGTTTGTGCAGTATCCAAACTTTACGACTTTACCTCCCTACTCTACAGCACCAATGCCTCAGGGAGCGCGTTATGCCATAAACACGTGGGTGAAAGAAAGTGCGCCTTGTACCGGTGCTTGCGGAGGAATTCCTCCTCAGTGGCATTCGGGCCAAACGATAGACCGGGTCACCCTCAAAGCAGCCAAGACTCGCAAAGACTCATTTTGGTGCAATTCTAAAGGTGATTGTGTCATTCAGGCTGACCTAAATTGTTGGGTTGGTGGTTTGAGTTGGCGGTTGTTCACTTGTTTTGGGTCTGATTGGTGCCACGAACGATTTAAGCCTAGTCATCAGGTCGTATGTTGGACGATTTGTCATTCGTAGGGTAGTTCTGGAAGGATTGCTTCAACAGTGTGGAATGGGCCAAGCAATGCCATACTTGCGGGGAAACAAACATCTAAATAAATAAATATATATATATATTATGAAATTTATATATATACTGGAATGCAGAATGCATCTTAATTTCCACCATGAGTTCCAGGTGCTCAAAAAAATGGTCTAGGAAAAAGGGGGCCTCTTTTCTAACATACACGTCCACATCCGTTCACCTTCCAAGATTCAATGGAAGGCCGACAAGCGAAGACTCCCTTGGACTTGTTCAGCAGGGACCTCGGAGGTATGGGCAACAGGGTCTGAATGGGTGACCTGTCAAAGGGTCATGGATGGTCCTAGTAGGGGGGTTGTTGATGGTCCTGGTAGGGGGGTTGATGGTCCTGGTTGGGGGGTTTCTTGATAGATTTTATACGCTAGTCATGAACATGTTGCACATCAAGGATTTAACACCTTCAACGGGCTTCGCCGAACACCGGCACCTTCTTTGACTTTTGGGACAAGTTCTGGCTCCGGTGAATGAATCAACAATTAAAGCATAGCCTGGAACCCAGCCGTGCGATAGAACCCTTTTATTGGTGGCAAACCCACAGGAATACCAGAGCTTGATTCATTCGATGCTCCAACTTCCAGGTTCGAATCGGGAATGTGAAGAGAGTACGTTCAGGTCTATGGGCCTCCAGTCGACGCCCTAGGTCGAGGCCAAACTGGAGGCCATACCTCACCCAGCGGATCTCACTTACCACTATATAGAGTCGGAACTCTCAGGTGACCGGGCGGGGTCACTGGAGGCGTCCTAAAGCCTCCTAAAGCGGCTGGGGGGGCTCCGACCCAGAGCCGGTCCAGTCTGGTCCAGTCAAAACCTGGTCTGAAGAACCGAAAGTATGTTGGTGTCTTTTAATTTGTGTATGACCAACTCCAGTCCATTGAGGTCTGTTTCCCTGACCTCGGTCTCCGGAGACGTCCAGGCTGAAAAAAGAAAAGACCATCGACCGAACTCTCCCATCCTAAACGATGGGAGTGAAGCGTAGGGCTCCGACCACGTCCTTGCGTCCTCCGAAACGAAGGTGGTTAGTTAGACCCCCCTGGCCACCTGAACCACCTTCGAAGCGGAGGTAGTTGGAGCCCTATAACGTCTTTCAGGGAATTTCAATTATCTCATGCATGAGTATTTCCGTGTTTTTCCTTGTGCTCCCATCTGTCCATCGTGTCTACGACTTAGGCCTTGGACCGCCTGCTGAACACCTTGTTTGATCTCGAACATGTGCTTTCGCAAAGTCCGGGCTTCCACCGGAGACCTCTTAAAACCTGATCACGGGGTAGCTTCTGTGCTACCGCGCGTACTGCAGTGATCACCGGACGGACGAACCCGACTCATGTCCAGGGTTCCAAACGACGAAGCGCCCGCCGAACCCCCCACGCACCCACGAAGACCGGTAGGTCCACCGGGAAGCTTTGGTCGACCATGTTCGACCTCTCTCAGTGGGTTGTAAGAGGCCCGGCCGGCCTAGAGTCCTAGAGTGAACAGCTATGCAGATCGATGCAGCCTGTGCTGCAAAAAGGCATTGCATCACATCGCAAGCAATCAAAGATGGAATCGATCGAATGAATCCTGCATCTGCACGACAGTGGTGACTGAAACACACCGCTCGCCGCTAGCCTTCAAAGACCGTTAAGAGAATGTTTCACCTGGTGGTGTGCTGCAAAAATCCTTAGTAAAACAATGGTTCTTTGAGGTTCTTTGTGGTAAAGACCATTGAAGCGTATGGAATATTTACCAACATTGAAAACTGAATCCACCGGCATGAGATTCCCATTCTGTTTGCCAAGCCGCATCCAGCACACCCATATTGAACATTGGAGAACAATATCCACTCAATGATCCTCCTCCTCCATCCACTCCAATCATGGAATGTTGATGGCCTCTTGAAAGCCTACTGTCCTTGACAAGCAGCCTTCCAGGGTTGATTTACAAGGTTCCTACAGGAATCCCCGGTGAGTGTTGGGTGGGAACCCCTTGCCAATTTATATGATTTATTGTTAATGTGATGTTATACTGTCATATATATATATATACCAGCTTCTTCAAAGTGACCTTTTTGGAGTGCCTAAGTGACCTTCACAGGCCCAAGTGAACTCAAACAGGGATATCAAAAGGTGACTTTGAAGAACCAGGTATATACTTATACATATATATATATATGTGTGTGTGTATACATGTGTTCCATAAAATTGGTGAACCAAGTTCAGAAGCATTTTCAATTTCTATCCAGGACCGCCTCGAACACATACCAAATGGAGACCACAAATCCTTCAAAACTCGCCCCACCACCACCGGAGCTGGACGGCTCCGTGCTGGACGGCTCCGTGCTGGACGGCTCCGTCCACGTGTCGACACAGGATTCAGGCTTCAAAATTGGCTCACTTCTTGAAGAGGCTCGAGTAATCCTCGGCTGATCGCAAAGGGAAGGGGTCGAGAACCCTGAGAGTCCAAGTTGGACTCAATTTACCCCTAGGGTAGTGGTGGATGATGACAATCAGGTGGAGCAAACTGGGGAACCTGGTCGACCTGATCCATGACCTGAATCACCTGATCCATTGTCCGTAGCCACGGACCAGGTGCCCAGGCCACGGACCAGGAGCCTCCAGCGGCGTGTCCGGATGTGTTAGGCTGTCAGGCTCCCAGCGGCATCCAAGCATCTTCCCTAGCCTTCAAAGACCCAAAGAATGGTTGACCTGGTGGTGTAGTGTAGACTCTTGACTACTAAGCCACCCCATATGAAGAGATGTTCAATTCAACTGGGGGGTTATTAGTAGTCTACACGAGAATTCCTTAGTAAAACAATGATGTTCTTTGGTAAAGACTCGTTTAAAAAAACAAGCATGAAAACAAGGGTTCCTCACTGGGTTCCTCGAATCCTAGGTCCTAGGTCCTAGGAGTCCTAGGCTGGTCTTGGGTCATAACCCTCTGATCACCATCCGCCGACTCGAGCGGGTCTTCGCCGAAGCCTCTGATGCATGGTAAGGCATGAAGAGCTCCCCGAAGCAGTTGGGCATCCTAAGGGGCGCCAACTGCTAGGCCACGGGGCGGAGGGGTAACAAAAACCAGGGGAGTTAGGGGGTTCTGAGATGGAGGATCTGGAGATGGTGCAATCATGGGAGTAAGTTCAATGAGAGGGGGTGTTTTGGGGATTGGCTTGAGGAACCGGGATTTAACACAAAGAAAAAACGAGCCACCTACAAGCAAAGCCAGGCGAATCATCTGAAAACTGCACTCCAAGCGTCTTCCGGAACTTCCACAGGTTCATGTCGCCCACCAACCTGCGACACCAACGCGCGGTGGTACGCGCAGCTCACCGCGGAGTGTTCCGGGCACCGCCCAAAGCAGTTCGATGAGAAATCCATGCATCGGGCACTTGGAATGGGAGCGCGGAGGTGCAAGAAACCCAGACGCTCCATGTATGCCATATATGCCTACATTGGGGTGGTTTGGGGGGGTCAATGTAGGCCTATATGGCATACATGGAGTGTATGGGAAAGTAAAACATGACCAGAGACCCAATAAATAAGAACATCCTTGTGCCCGACACCTGCGCAAAGGTCGGGTCGGGCCCAACACCTTCGCAGGGTCCGGACCCGAACCAAACCCTTTCATACCCTTTCCATTGGCTCGGGCCCGGCAACTCAGGGAGAGTCAGAAATAAAAGGGGGGGCCCAACGCTGACAAGTCCCTGTGTTTTGTTTCCCGGGTCAAGCTCAAAATGACCACGTTGAGCATCAAGGATGATCCGAAACCAAGACTAGGCCTCAAACCCTGTGATAATAAAGGGGGGCAACATGGGGCAACCAAAAGCAGTGCCCGATAGGAACCTGATCTAGAATCTAGATCATGTTTCACCCCTCTTTTCACCATCTTTCACCCACAAGACACCTTACAGCAAGAACGCCTGCCCTGCAGCAGATCTTGATTTGGACATGTTCCAGGAGCCCCGAACTTGTAGCGTCCGATCGCTCCGTTCGTCGTCGTCGTAAGGCCGCTCAAGCCCCGAACTCGTCGCGTTCGTTTGGCGGGTGCCCGGAGGTGCCGGAGGTCCCGAAGGCGAGGCACATGTCATGATACTTCATCATGTGCAACTGCCAAATGGACGCCCGCGAGGACATCGGGGGCATCCACAAGCGTTTCCTGAGCGTTTTCCCTCCAGGCCGGCGGAGAACGGTGGGTAAGGGGTTCGCGGTTTGGCTTGTGGAGGTGGTTGTTTGGGTTGAGGGATGTGACAGGTTGTTAGGTGTTAACACTTGAAACTGCACGTGGGGTCCCCGGCGCATGGGCCGTGACTTTGGTTCTGGGGGCGGGTAGGATTGGGTAAGGAAACACCACGGTCGTTGATGCCTCATATATGGAGGGGTCTGGGGTCTCAAATCCCTAGGTTATGAGGGACCAAGGGCTGTTTGGAGCGTCTGGGCAGGAGAGAATCAAAGGCTTTACGATCGCAATCTTTTTGGGACTCTGGATTTCAATCCTTTGGATTGATTTGTGTCTCTTCGGATTTCAATCATTTTGCGTAAAGACCAAAAAAGACGACGAATTCTGACAGGTGTCTTGATGCGAGCGCAAATGAGCAGTGTGTCCTTTCTTTGCAACGCAGCCGCTGCAAGTGTGTGCTGTTTGATGTTGCTCGGCTATGTGCACAGCTAGGGCACCGGGAACCCCAAAGCCGAACATAGTCCGAGGCGAATGGAAAAGGGACAGGCAGATTGGTGACCATGCCCTGAGGCAGGGCTCGTCACAGAATTGTCCAACTTAAATTAAAAAATATCCAAGCCATCTGCTGCTGAGTCTCCAAGCACGTTCCTTCTCAATGACCTTGTCCTTAATTGAGGCTCACGCCGGCAAAAGCCACTCAGGACTCAAACCGTACCGAACTGTGGGATGAGCAAAAGCGACTTGTTCAGCCATCTGCAGCCATTTTCAGCCAGCAGGCACTCGAGGAATCCAAGCCCAACAATGTGGGGGAATCGACCCATAATTGCGATGTGCGTCCCAACTGCTTTGTTGACCACAAGCGGATACAAGCGACATTTTCTGATTTGAAGGTCGGGAACATCGGGAGCGGGGATATCCTGGCACAGTGGAAATAGGACTGATTCAAGTCACACCTGGTGCTCTCAGGAAATTCGAGGACCAAAGCTCATGTTACTAGTTACAGTAGTCGAAATGCATCTAACTTCTTGGCTGGAGCGGCATCCACCACATGTTGCTCTCCTCTTTGATTGATGGGATGCTGTTGTCAGAAAAATCGCCCTGTTGTCTGCAGTTCGTGGTTCCCAACACAGAAATGAAATCCCATCGGTTCCAATACGACGAAAAACCGTCTGACACCATCTGAAAAGAGCTTCATATACCAGAATTGCTGTAAGGCCAAATCTACTTTTGGGAGCGAAAGCTCCTGGTTTCCTGCAGATATGACTCCCTTAAACGGGTCCATTGAATCATGTATATATTCATATTACTGAAATATACATTATAAATATATATATATATATATTTATGTGTGTGTCATGTTCTTGCGTCTTCCATCTTCTCATTCGCGCTTTGGGCACGGAACCCAAACGAACCGAAGCGTCCATCGCTCCGGGCGCGGGCAAGTGGATCTCTCCCTTCAAGACCTTCGAGAGCCACAAGGCTTGGAGCCCTGGACCGTGGGTGGAAGCGCCGTGGGGGGGGTCGGGAAGCGGGAGGTCGGGGTGAAAACCAAGAAAAAAAACACTCATGAACCGACTCCCACCCCCCTTTCATTGGTTCGAAACCAGGTTTTAAACCGAACTTTCCATCTCTTCATAACACTTGGTGGTGTCCCCAGCTCATCCACAAAAGGTTGAAGGGCATCCACTGACTGGGTAGGGAGCTGATCTCAGCTCATGTCCGATGACTTCGATTTCCGTCGGTCACTGAGTGGGTTCCTTGGTATTCCTGACGCAAACAGGAACACGTTCTGGGACATTGTGTAAAGCTGAATAGGGACGCATATGGTGGAAACATTCATACAATTATTATATATAATATATATATATATGAATCAGCAAGCAGTGAAAACAATCGTAGGATATGTGGAGTCAATAACAATGATTGTGTTATATTGTGTTGCTCGGTTTGCTCTACTCACCCAGTCGGTTTTCTGCACTTCATTGTGCTTGGCTTTCGGAAGTGGCATCAAGTGATGTCAGAAGTTCGCCAGGGACATGTCGAGAATTGTTTAGGGTCACCCCTACATCAAAGCTATGTCATGCAAAAGAGCTGGGAAGGTGGACAGGGCAAGAATGGGCAAGCCTCCGCCATTGAAATTCATTGAAGCCTACGGGGACATGTTTAAAACACATCGAACGAGTCGATAGGATCTAAACCTCTTTACGATTCTTTACCTATAGCGCAGGATGGGGTGCCTTAACAAACACGTGCCATGTATAATCTAAACCCGGCTCATATATCAAGTCCCTTCAGAAACCACCAGAAATATATACTATATATATGTAGCCTTCTAACGGAAGCTCTTTTGATCTCTTTTGATCCTCTTTGCAGGTCTTCACCCCTACTTGGCACCCCCACCATGAGTGAGGATGTTGTTGGAGGTACTCACCTCGCAGCCCACAAATGCCAAATCCGGCAGGCGCGGGGGAAGCATGTTCCTGAGCGGCATCAAGCGCGGGCCAGAACCGGAGCCCGCATGAAGTGGGGGCGACAGAAAAGGGGAGTGTCCAAACCCCCTAGGAGTGGAGGAAAGTGGATGGCACTGGGAGAGACGTTTCAAGAACATCATAAGTTTAAGATCTTTGAAGCACTGGCCCTGCCAGTGCCAAAGCCAGTACCCTTTCTGCATAAGCACCAAAAGGGCCACCGGCATAAGCACTGGCCCTGCCCGGTGGCCCTTTTGGTGAAGCCTTGTCAGAGCTCCTTCGAAGACGCTGGGAGACATAGGGGTATCATCTGCCCAGTCACGTTCATAGGTGTCGGGAGATCGCGCGTAGGTGTCGGGTGACACGGGTTCCGGGCCAAACAGGTCCTGTTTGGGACTGGGATATCAACAGGTACCAATCAGTTAAGTGGCTGATTTATAGCCATCCTGGAGTAGATATATAGAACAGGAGGAAATTTACAAAAAATAAACAGCAAAAAAAAACACAAGACACGGGGTGACACGGGTCATCCTTTTTGGATTGGTTCGTATTCTATCCACTCCAGGATGGTTGTGATTTCAGGAGCCTTGCTGCGTCTCGTCCAGTCCCAGTCGTGCCTGGTTCTTTCCATACAAAGCCTAGTGACTGGGAGCGGACCCTTCAAACCCCCCCAAGACATAAAGACAAACACATCCACTGGTCCATTCTCCTTTTGTTAACTCTGACTATGAGAGTTGCTGAGAGTCCGGTAGAGGAACAAGCCATCCTTCTGAATGTTCAGCTTCTCCTCCACAGGGTCGTGCCGTTTTCCTGACTCCCTCAGTTTTCCTTGAAGAAAAAAGGTGAAAAAAAGGTTCTCCATTGACAGGGTAGGAATCAGGGAAACCTCTGTCCAGCCCATTTTTTTGTTCCCCTCAGTTTTCCTCAGATTCACCAGATCCGCTAATCACTATGTAATCCAAATGTTTGAGAATCCTTGGTGGAAAAAACTCCCGGTCAACTGCCAGAGGTTTCAAGCCCATCAGCGTTACCAACGAGTCTTCTATCTGATCTGACAATGTCTTGAGTGTTCCATCTTGCTGCAAGACGGTGCAGCGTCCTGCAGGACCTTGTCGAAGATATCGTAGTTCCTGAGATGGAGATGAGTTCGCTGAACAAGATTTCAAAAACCAAAAAGAATATACCCACCCAATATATAGTCCCTCTTAGATTCTCTCGTCCCACTACAGACTAGAGAGGAAGGCTTTCTGAAAAACATATTCCACCTTCCCCAGCGCCCAAGCCACGCTGTGCTTCACCTGGCGCCACGCCGCACCACTCGTTCCGCCCAAGGCACTTGGCAAAGCCGGTGCCATAGATCACCAGGTCGGAGTGCAGCTGAGTGCCATTGGTCAACACCACACCCTCAGGTGTGAAGGAGTCGATGGCCCCCTGGATCACCTGGGTCCGCGGGAAGCATCGGCGACGTGTTGCAGCGATGCGCATCCGGAACTCCATGGGCATCGCTGCTGCGGCCAGACACCGTGGGGGTCGGGATCTGCGAAATGGAGACAGAAGGTCTCCAGGTATGTCTGGCTGAGAATATGCTACTACAACCTAAAATAAAGGAAGCCACCGAAAACGCAAGACTGCTAGAGTTTCACGAGCCAAGAAGTCTGCCTTCCTGGCCCGTGGAAACCCCATACTGCCCCGAAACAGGGATTTCGTGCGGCTCGGAGGAGGTGAGCCAACGCACCGTGCAAATCCACCCCCATTTGGCACGCCGTGTGTCCGGATCTTGCTCATCGAAGCACCTTGATCTTCCCCTCCTGCACCATGTCGCGGAACTCATAGTTCAAGATCCTCAGCTGAACCCACTCACACTGGGAAGGAGGCATTCCTGTTCAACGCCATGAGTGATGGCACAGCAACCATGGCTCTTGGGGGTTCCACGTACTGTGTTCAACGCATCAAAGGCCCCAAACATCTCCAGAGGTCCTTCGATGCTTTCCCCAACCCTCCGACCTCCGACCTCCAACCTCACTACTCTGGGAGCTTCCCGTTCAGCGACACCATCCGGATCGGATCTTCCCGCCGCTTCCTCGACGCTCCTCGCTCGCCCTATGTGCGGCCCGAGAGTCTGGCCGCCGCTGAAGAGGTCGATGTCGATGCTGTCGGGTGGCACCATCTCGGACGGCAACTGGAATTGCCCGCGGAACCTCGACGCGTCAGGCGTCAGGAGGATGGAGTCCAGGCGGAGAAGCATGAGCAGATTTAAAAAGCTCGTTGCAGTCCAAATCCCATCAAAGCCTCCAAAACCAAGGACCTAATTGAGGATTGAGGGATCAACACTTTTCAAGGCCTTCGATGGCTGAAGGATCCGAGCAGGGTTGGGGACCGGGATGTGATTGGGGTTGGTTTCAACAAGCCTTCTCTGGGTGGGGACGCACCACCAACTCAATTACCACCCAAGCACAGGGTAGCTTGCTTGGAACGTGCAACTGACTGGTCCGACCTGATTTGCGGAGGGGTCACCCCCATGTCTTGGAGACTTGTGTACCCTTGATCTTTGCGAGGTTGCCCCAGCATGGTCTAGGCGAAATCAAGCAAGCTGGAGGTTCTGTCCCTTCTCCGAAGGAGAAATCTGGTGGTTTCCCAGCCTTTACACTGCCTTTAGTGGTTTCTATCGTTTTGGCAACAACGCCAGTGATCCACTTTTCCACTGGGATTCCATGCACCATTTAATTGGGAACACTGCTCTGCGACTTTCCTGGTTCTATATGTTGTTTGTGGGATTTCATGGTTGTTTGACATGAATTTTCTGGGTAAAGTTGGTAAGCTTAGGTTAATGCATGTTGATTTCCCAAGCGCCCGCTACAGTAAATCTTAGGGATTTCTAGTGGCTTTATAGGAGTGTTTTAGGTTTCTTAGGAGTTTGCGGTAGGAAGCCAGCGTTTTGCGAGATACACCGGCAAACTACATCCACACAAAAATCCATGGAGCATGTATCTCCAGGCAGGTGAACCGAACTCCGATGGCAGAACTGAGTCACGTGCCAAGGCTGTGGTCCTTCCAACCGTGCCAGTCATGTCTGCCCAACTGGGATGGTTTTAAACATGAAATGGCACGTCCAGTCCGCACAGTTGGGGGTTTTCCAGGTCTGTTGGGAGCCTCACGACTCCAGGTCTGTAGGTGATTCGAGTGCCGGGTGGATGGCGTCTCGCGGGTCACGCGAGCTGTTCTGGGACTGGCGGATGTCCGGCATCAATCTAGGCATCTAACCTATTCCATACATGGACATGATATACAATTATACATCCGTCATTCAACGATCCTGGAATACTTAGAATTCCTGTACTGTTAATTCCGCGGCCCTAAAGAATGGAAAGTACTTGGAATAACCTACCCAAACTGTACTTAATATCTTGGAATATATGTCAATTCTAAAGATGCTTCTTCGACACCAAGGCCCTAACATGTACTTACAATACTTCATAGCATCTTTAATTGTGCAGATGCTCCTAGGAAACCAGGAGCTGTAACATTAGCCTGTCAACTCCAAATAGCAAGCATCATATCTCAGGCTGAACGCCTAGAACAAAGTCGCCACGAGGATTGCCCTGCGACGCCCTTTTCAGGCCATCTTGACCCATGAAAACAACTACAAACTTTCTAACCCCTTAGGCACTTGTGCAGCAAGAATGGCAGTAAGAGATTCCTGCAAAGGCCCTGAAGATGTCAGGTCACATCTACCCGATTCCAAGTAATTATCTTTTGGTGACATTCCGGAAGGCGTTCTTATATTCCAAGTGTATGTTCGGACTTCAATTCCGGGTGCATGGCCACTAGCAAGAGGGGACCCATCCGTTTCACAGTACAGCGTTTTCTTTTTCCGTCCGAGGCGCATGAGCTCCACCACGCGCCACCAGATCCACTTCACTGGTGCACAAGTGCCGTGGAACCACTTGGCCACGGGCCCTCGAGAAGGACGCCGTTTCGGGTTCGACCAGGTATTGGACCTCGTTTCGGGGGCCCGGGGGTGGGGGTGGCACCCTTTTGAACTCTAGAGAGGTGAGCTCAAGGACCAGCATTTGACCTGCTAACTAGGCCCCAGGAACTGAACTGCAAGGCAATGAATCCATCTTCTCAATGAGGTAATATGATACGAGGTCTTGGAACCTGATACGAGGTCTGGGAACCTGACGGAGAACAGGGTTCAAACATGTTCAAAAAACACATCCATGTCACCGTTCGATTCGATCAAACTGCTGACAGGCTTCTTCGGTGACCATCACTGGTGATACGTGGCTAATCTAAAACTTCCACACATCTACTCTTGACAGGTTTGATGATCGCCTATGAAAGAGGAGTCTGGGTACCCTAGTTCTGGGCGTCAAAGCGGGGGCTGCCCATCGCTAGAGTCAGTCATGGAGGAATCTGCGGCTGATTCCTTGGAAAAGGTTCCAGCACTGCACTGCCACAAAATCCACAAATCGATTGTTTGCTAGTGGGGGCCATGTACTATTCAAGATCCGACATCAAGCATCCAAAGTGTTGAGCCGCCGAGCTGAGGGCTCAGACCACTCAGTCCAGCACTGCGACTTCGCGAGCCCGGCCTTCTTCATGATGCGGGGTCAGCATCCAATGGCCAAAGCGAGAATAGGTGCCGTACTTGAATGGAACCTCAAGAAACCGGTCAAAGAGGTGTCCAAAAACAGGGTAGGCGCGCGCCTAAGGGGCTGTGCGTTTGTAATGTGTGTGTTTGTGTTTTTCTTGTTTAAGGTCTTGTTTTGTAGGAATTGTGCAAATTCCCACGTTTTGGATGTTTTTACACGGAGAGTGTTTTTGGGGAGGTGGCTAAAGTGCTGTAAGGGTTGTACGGAACCTTCGTTTCTGGAGGTTTCGCTACAGTTTCGAACAGTTTTGACTACATGAGTTTTCCGGTCCAAAAGTTTCGGACTGTTTTACGTTCTGTAGCGAATCGAAGCGAAAAGCGAAGTGACATGCGAAGAGAATGCAACACAACATGCGACGAAGCGAAGCCGCCAACAACTAGAACATGCCAAAGGTCCACGGACGTAGCATCAAGGAATCAAGTATGTTTACAAGACTTTGCAAGCACAAGTAACGTCAATAGAACCCCACCCCATCTATGATGTAGCATCAAGTATGTTTGCAGGTACAAGTGACGTCAAAGCCACAAAAGCTTTGAACACATATCCATAAACGCCCGGCCTCTTACAGGCACGGCTACCACAAACATGCAGGTCTATTCCATTACCAGTAACAGTGATGATGATGGTTCAGGCCTTGTTCTAAACTGTTCTTGCTTACTGACGGCCCTACAGGTAAGACAAACCGGTCAAACATGCACAACATCATTTCACTTCGCAGGATATCCCAAAGCACCAACAAACAATCCGCATGTCGTGGAGTTGTCGGGCCCCAACTTGGGTTTTTGGAGCCGGGTCCAGCCATGTTTCACACAACCCAGTCGTTGCTACGCATCGTGTTTGTTGCGTTCGCACTGACCGACTGACCGGTGCTTAGTTCATGAAATTTCACCAAACTATTTCGAGTTCTCCAAAACCATCCTAGAACCTGAATGACCTCTATTTTGGATCACCAACCACGAAAAATATGGTCTTTTCCTATCAAAACAAAGGTCAAATGGGCTCTAGGATGATACAACATGCATCAACACATCTTCGTTGGACACAGTACGGCGTCTACAGGACCTTCCCACTGAAATCATCAGAGCTATCATGACTGCAACTATCAGAGCTATCATGGCTGCCATTCTCAAAAACGGCTAACAATGGTGACTGTCATGACAATTGCATACAATTGCCTTCTCAACTTGCACCCAATTGAGACATTCCAATATGAACAACTCTTTGGATAGAATTTCAGGCCCTCTGTATAGTCTTTTGAATGGTTTTCCTCACTTGCCCTCCATGTCCACAAACACTCCGCAACAAAATTACTCAGAAGCTATGCCCCCTGTCTATTCGCTGGGCACCGTCACAGGCAAGTCCTGACCCGCCTGCCACCCCACTGACATGTCAAGCTATGTCCACCCTTCCCCGCTGGAGAAGAAGGGTCGACCGTTCGTTCGACCCGTTCGGATCTGTACGGGTCGACCCGTTCGGACCGCCCCGGGCGAGCGAGGCGCTGCATTCAGCAGCAAGCGCGGCACGGGCCAATGAAACTGCCGGCACACCAGTGTGCTTGAGATGCCTGGTTCGAGCTCAAGCCGAAGGTGGGTGAAGTGGCATGGTTAAACTATATGCTATACTTATAGCTATACTATGGCGGAGATTCAACGTCAAAAAGATTCAACGTCAAAAGGATTAATCTTTGCCATAAGCAGCCGACCTACAAATTTAAAGAGGGATTTGCTAGACTCGTTTAACTAATCACTTCATGAGAAATCAGCAGTTCATGTACAAATAAGCCTCTGCAACGGATCCTTATATATTAACTCAGCGGTTAGTTGGCCGAAGGCTGATTGCAAATCCAACAAAACCTTTCAGTCTAGTCTTGACATGTCTTGACAGTCTTTGCCCCTTGTTCTCCATAAACTGCTTGAGACTTTTGAGGCAAGACTCGTGTCAACATTTCAACTTGGTGGAACGTGCGGCCGACAATGTTGGTCGGCCGATTTAGGGGGGGAGTACATGATGAACTCAGGAAGCAAACGGCCCGAGTTCATCGCCAGTGAAATCTCGAACACCGAGCAGCCTTCCTTTGCAGCAGCCACTGCATTGTCGATGGCCGATTTGCCTGAGCTTTGTGGGAAATGGGGTGTGATTGCATTCCCCAACATCCCAAGCCGCTGCTTAATGCATTCAATGCATTCAATTCTGATCTACAAAGTGAATCCAAATTGACAAGCTGGTCTCCTGGGCCGGGGGACATTCCTTCTGGCCCAAAAAGAGTTATGGCACTTAACTTAACACATCTTAGCACATATAATTTATGTAGCCGGTTTATGCGCACTTGTTGCCGTACACGCCACTTACATTGATAATACATCATGATTCTATCTGCATGTTGTGGGGGCGAACATCTACCACTCAACAAACAACATGGAAAGAAGAATGCTATCTCCAGGGCCACCTACACCCCGGTATACGAACACCAACAGTCCAATCCTGCTTCAAATTGTATGTGCAACGGGACATTGGCCATTGGATGTCACCTTGTGACGGTGCAGCATCTTCCTGAATCAGGGGCTATAATTAATACACATATGAAGCTTTCCAAAGGGTTTTGCAGTTCAGGGGGGGCAGAACTGAAACCTTGCTGGTGATTGACACCATCGCCCCCAAAATGAGTCAATCAATTAATTATAATAGCCATTCCCAGGATGGATGCATCCCACACAAAGGCACTATAGGCCAATGAGTAGGCCAATGGTTATAACCTTTGGCATCCCTTGGATGAAACATGAAAAACAACGTCTGCAACGGCCCAAACACCAAGCCGTGTGCAGCGACGTTTGTTCCCCGTCTCCCTGTCTCACCCCACTCGACATCAGTGGGCCCTAAACACTCGGACTGGCACATTCGCCTACAGCATGAGCCGGTTGAAACGGGGTCAATACATACCCAAACGCTCCCTGGGACTGCCATATATGCCGATCAATTGGGGTGGTTTGGGGGGGTCAATGTAGGCATATATTCCAAACATGGAGTGTTTGGGATAGACTCAAGCGAGGACGTCATCTCCGCCATGGCACCTCCTCCGACGACGATGACCTTCTTGCCTTCTGCCATCTTCCGATCTGTAAACGTACAAGAATGCAAGATCTGACCTGACTCTGGCATGAACTCCTCGGCAAACCATCTCTAGCCCATTGAAAACGCTAATTGTTAGACCAATGCCCCACCTCACCTCCAGGACATCTCAGGTAACACAACCACTCAAATAGACTCTGGACATGGACGGTGCAAGGTGTAATTTCTGTGGCTGACAAGCTATTCCAACACCCCTCCTCCATGCAAGAAAGAATTATGTTCAACCAACTTTACAGTGGTTCCTCCTGCCTTTTTGTCTTTGTGTTTCATATGTCTCCCTCTCTTGAATTTACTTGGAGAATGCTATTCCAATTCCATCTTCCGAGCATTATTGTTATCAATCGATCGGCAAGGGTTTCGGACAAGAACATGTCCTTTGGTGCGGAGTGTGCTAACGCTACCTGATTGGTTTGAAGCTCGTGTTGTTGTTTTTGCAGTCCAAATGCATTTGATGATGTTTCTACATGTTTTTAGATCAGTTTAAACATGTTTCCACGACTTGGTCTCGTTTTCACGCTTGGGGCAGGTGACTGACATGGATTCGCTTGGCTATGGGCTATGGGCCAGGGTCCCTGGCCCGTTTTCGGGAGTCGAAGCGCCGCAGAGTATCGAAGATGTGGTTTGTGGAGTCCATCTGGGCTGAGGTGATCGTTCAGTTTCCCTCAGAATCGATGACCATACCCAGACCATCCCTGTCCGGAATAGTTTATGTTTCATGTTCATGGCCCAAAAAAAAAACGATCATGCAACATCTTTCCAGTCCCATGGATGGTCTGGAATCAATGCCACACCTAATTATCGCCACCCGACCGCGCCTTTGAACGCTCTAGAGTTGCGGGCCACCGGAAGATGTGGAGGCCAACCATACCTTGGAGAGAGTTTTTGGTCAGAAAAACTTCAAGGTTTTGAGGGTTGAGCACCCCACCCAGTGCAAAAGAGGTTCTAAGAATGAATTTGGCTGGGTGGGATCCTTATATCAACACTTGAGACTCTTTGCTGTGAAACACGGTTTAATCTAATACCCAAATTAGGTGCATAATGAAACACTGGCCCAACGTCAACGCAAAGGAACATGCCAGTTTTAGCCACCCAGCTGATCGGCTAAGAATAATAAACAACAAGAAGAAGAACAAAACTACACAAAAGCTAGAACGAAAACAACATGAAACAACGGCAAGAACCAAATTGATTGCCTAACCACCGGTCTTAAAGGTCTTAGGCTTAGGTCTATCATCACCAAACCAGCTGGCTCTTGACCTCCCAGGCGCATGCCAGTGGCCATCACCAGGAAATCAAATGCTTCCGATTTGTCCTTTGCTCGAGCTCGATGGGACGTGCTTAGTTAGTTGAGATGAAGATCAGGAGGACCGCCCAGCCCATGGACTAGTGGGTCGGCATGCTATGCGATGTTCAGCAGGTTGCGTCGGCATATTCGGCAGCTTAGGTGCTTGGCAAAAGCTGAAGGCGAGGCGTTCTTTTTTCTTCGGCTAGAGCGGCCAAAACATGGAAAAGACCTGAAGCGCCTGCACACTCGTGGAAACTCTAACATACTTACTTTAGTAGGTGCATGGTCCCCTCCGTGAGCCTTCACCTTACTCATCAATCACAGGATCCTTCTTCAAGACAATCTGCTAACCAGACCCCGGTTTTGGGTAGCTTGCATCCAGCTTCAGAAGGTTTTCCCGGCACACATGGTGCCGCCCAATGGATATGATAGTGGATTGAGAGGAAATGGCACAGGACTCCAAGAGGTGGTTGATGGCACGGACCCCCCATCTGTGGACATCATGGGGTCTGTGCCGTCAATCACTGTAATGATAAATAATGATATATAACATAATTGCAAGTACAACCACACGTTGCCTCACATCTTGTCTTTTTCTTTCCTTCAAGCGTGAAAATGGACACCCTCCATCTTCACGGGCAGTCCTGCAGGACCATGGTTGTGTATCCATCTAATGAGTGGATGTGGCAAGCTCCCAGAGCCCGGAGGTGAAGCATCACACGGTCACATGGGGGGCTTGGAATATCAACCATCAAAGATCAACAACAGAATCGGATGGTTCATTGATGGGGAATGAATTCAAAACCATCAACCTCACTGCGTCCTACCTTCTACCTTTGGGCGGGTAGAAAGCCGGTTTTTCACCGGCAAAGGGCACATCTGGACTCAGTTGGAAGATCCAGGTGTGCCCGTATTGTCACCGGTCCGATTGGAATCCCTCCCAGGAACCTGAGCCGCTCGGTGAAGGGTCCAAAAGGCGGAAGGCTCCGGCGGGGAAACCTCCGCCCCGACAGCGGACACGCGGAACCGTCTCCAGCACCAAGCCAGCCAGCCAGCCAGCGCAACGAACGCATCCGACAGAGCCGTTTGTGGTCCAAGCTTTGCTTCTTCCATGTTTCCGTACGCCGAGAGGTGCAGAGGCCCGGACGCGCGCACGCGGCGGACGCCGAGGACTGTGGACTCCAAGGGGCCGCGCCCTCGGCCGTCTTCCACAAGATGGTCCAGCCACGCTGGTTGGAGCCAGCCGGCCGCACCTCGCGGATGAAGGTCTTGAAACGGACCAGCTCGTACCTCCACGAGGTACCGATGGACTGATGATGTGATCCCCTTTTTTTCTGGGCGATTGTTTTGAAGGGACATCTCTAATGAGACTGGGGCCCAAAGACCAGTAGTTCTACTGCTGGAATGCTGCTGCTAATTCATGTTAATTCTGGCTTGGAGTTAAGCAAACCAAAAGCGTTCGGAGATAAATTTTTACACAAGGGAGCAGCTCCCACTGACCACCATGGCTTCATCCCATGAGCAGCTCGTGGGGTGCAGCGGAACTCGTCTGGAGGACGGGATCAACAGCTTTTCTGAAGAAAGAAAGAAAGAAGGAAAGAAGGAAAGACAAACAGACAAACAAACAGATAGATAGATAGATAGAAAAAAAGGATAGAAGGAAGGAAAGAAGGAAGGAAGGATGGATGGATAATTACACCGTTTTCAGAATAGATGGCTATATCCGGAAACGAGTAGATGGCACCAGAAAGTGCCAAAAGCGCCTGCGGAAAACCGTGATAAAATAACCATATATACCTATGCATCCTCAAGCATAATAAATGGCATTCCACCCATTCACAGAGTAGACTTGCGCCATCTTCTGCAAAGAACACTGATATAAGTCGTTGATTTTTGTAGACAACCTATCTGTTAATTCCAATTGTTTTTAATGTTCTTCTCTTTGAACTGTCTTTCTCTCTCCTTCTTTCATATTCTATCTCTCTCTCTCTCTCTCCTTCTCTTCCTTTCTCCTTTGCTATCCTTTCCTTAATGTCTTCTTTCCCTCTCCTTGGATGCCTTTCTTTCCTTTCCTTCATTCACTTCTCCTTTCTCTATCCTTCCCTTGCCTTTCCCTTCACCTTTCCCTTTCCCTGCACTTGAACCAGTAACAGAACGCTGCACGATAATAGCCCAGTAGATGGCACAACCCTTGTGTGAAAAATGATTAGGATGGTTGAGCCAATAGATACTGCCAAGTAGATGGCGCAACCCTTGTGTGAAAGATGATAATTATGGTGGCGCCTATAGACGGCGCAACTCATTTCCCTATCCTTTCCAGTCCTTCTTGTATCTAACATGTTCCTTTTTTTCATCTCCTGTTGCTTAATTCTGTCCACTTCTCCTTTCCCTTCTTCCCTTCCCTTCCCCTTCGTTTTCTGGACTAGTCTTTCCATCTACAGTATTTCATTTTATGTTTCTTTTCTTTGCTTTCCTTTCCTCACCTTTGCTTTCCTATCCGTTCCCTCTCCTCTCCTTTTTCTTTCCTTTCCTTCATTCACTTCTCCTTTCTCTATCCTTCTCTTGCCTTTCCCTTTCCTTGCACTTGCGCTTGAACCAATAACAGAACACCGCACGATAATAACCCAGTAGATGGCACAGCCCTTGTGTGAAAGATGATTAGGATGGTTGAGCCAATAGATACTGCCAAGTAGATGGCGCAACCCTTGTGTGCCCAGACCTTCGGAAGTGGCCTATTTTGAGTAGTTTTGGGGATGGTACCTGCCAATCCAGTCTAATTGCAAAAGTCAGCAAACTAATACCTTATCCTTTTCTTCCCTTTCCTTTCCTTACAGTAAGTCACTCTCCAAAAGAACATGGTTGCTACTTGCGCCATCTATGGTGCTTTCATGGGTTTCCTCTTGCCAATTTTCTTTGCAACACCGCTCTCACAAAAAAAAATTATCCTTTCACAGAAACCACTCAAAACACATCATTGAATCATTGGAAAGGTGGCTTGCGCCATCTAATGTCGTGCTTGCTGCTTTCAAGGCCAAACATTTTATAGCGGTCTTTCACGAAACGGATTGTAAAAGTAGACGGCGCCAAACCCATCCCCGACTAGTAGTTTCCCATTCATTGTCACGGCTTTTAGCCTAACATGGCTTGCGCCATCTGCATCTAGGTTTTTTTTCCTGCATCTAGGTTTTTTTCGTTCCAGAGGCGTTTTTCCCTACACAATAAATGGCTCATTACAAAAACCTAAGCCAAGTTATTTGGCAATAGAGTAAATACCTGGATACCTGATTGACCTCTATTTTGGATCACTTCCACCAAACAAGCCAAATATGGTCTTTCCGAAAGAGTTTGTGCTGGCTGGGCCCTTGAACATTGTGTTCACTGCGCCGTTCAGTTGATGGAAGACACCTAGAGCCACAACCACTCTGTAAAATCATCTGTCCATGTCTTTCCTATCCCAAGGTGCAGGATGTTCCTACCATTGATGCTGTAGCAATCCATCTGCTTTATCCTGCTTTGTCTACTGTCCGCGTACTGGGGTGCATCTCAGCGTGCTCACCCTCAAAGCATTTCCACACCCAAGCTACACATGTCAAACTTTAGATGACGCCGAGCTGCAACTTGAAGGTCTTGGCATAGAGTTGGATATATGCCTGGGTCTCAGCCCCTGTGGGGAAATCCTGGCAAATAAGTCTGGAACAAAAAGACATCGTGCCTCAGAAACGGCGATCCCTGATAGAAGGTGATCAAATCAACGCACCAAAACCACGACCTGGCTGCCTGGTAGTTGCGGATTCCCGAAGACCGAATGAGATCTTCCAGCAAGGTTTCATAGGTTCGAGCAAGCCATGATCTTTACATCTCACCACACATGACGGAGCCTGTCAACTCCATCCTCCCCAAATTGCCTGCTTGGGTCGAGAGTCCCCCGACTCACCTGGATTTTGGATGATTTGGGTCCGGGGCGCCCAGGCAAAAAAGGCACAACTGCACGCCTGGGAACTGCTCTCCAACCGCTAGTGCCAACCACTCAGTCCTGACATCTGAAGTCTTCTGGATAAGGAAAATCAGGGAACTCATACCTCACGACACCCGCGCAGGAAAATCAGGCACCAAATCACAACCGGTCGATGATGGAGGCGGGCGAAGCAACAAAGTGCAGGTGCCAGGCAAATTGCAAAAACATGCAAAAAGGCCGGGGGTGCAAATGGATCGCGACATCTTCTAGCATGAGCAACTGCCGAAACCTTCAAAATGTTGTAAAGGATATCTGGGTCGCCTCAATTTAAATGGTGGCTGAACAGGCATGAATTTTCCTGCACATCCACGTTTTGATTGTCACCAACATGTCCAAAACTGCAAAGTGACAAAAAAACTTACACACAAGCACACCTACCGGTCCTCTGATCTCACATCTTCCAAAAACGCGTAAAAGAAGGATGGCGGGGAGCTGACTCTAGAGGTTTTAAACTGCAAGCAAACCACTCAAGGGAACCAGGAGTTTTCAGGTATCCTGGGGTCTCAACTTTTAAGGAGCCACCTGGGTATGTGACACCACTAATTACTTACGCATTAATTCGGATGATGGTGAGTAAAAGGCCAGATTCCAATGGATTGACGCCATTTGCACGTTCCAAGCTGCAATTCCTTTGGAACTTGAAGTCCGAAGTCTGCATAGTTCCTGAGCTGCAAAACCAGCGGAGCCGCCCCCCGAGCTACATCCGATCCAATCCAAGTCCAAACGGCGCTGAAGCGCCTCTGCGGGCGAAGTCAATGCCTCCGCACGCAGTTGGACGAGACCCTCTTGAGCTCAACCAGAGCGAAGCGCGGGATCAATGGCTGAGTTTTGATACCAGGACCCGCAGTCGGGGTGGTGAATGGACACCCCTTAACCGAACCCCCTTAGGGTGTCCTGGCATCTGTGTCATAGAGGTGTTATTCAGAGGAGTAGATGGCACAACCCCCCCAAGGCTGGTGGTTGATATGGAACCCCATCTGTCTAGGACATCTCCTGGGTGCCATCGAACCTCTGAAACATTGATAACCCTTTCACGGCCTCCAGTGCCTCCCACCATGCACCATGCCCCCTGGTCCCTCCCCCGGACGTGCCAAGCTTCTGCCGCCAAACGCCTCCGATGTCTTCCTCTTTCTCGAAGATCGTGCACTCGAGGCCAATCTCCTGCGGGTGGAGACTGAAAGGCTTCAGAGAGCCAACGAGCATGCCAGCTACGCGACTTCGCTGTTGAGCCACTTTGCAGCTTGATTCGCATCACCTTCGGATCGATTGGTCAAGCGGTGAACATGGTGGACCGGTCACCGACTCATCCTCAGATCGCTTGAGTGAGACACATTGGGGCTAGCGGCTAGAGTGTTTTCTTTCCATGGCTCTCAGAGGTCTTAAACCGATCTGGGCTAGAGTCTGCTAAAGGAAGGAACAACCAAAACGGTCCATTCCCGGTCCTTCAAATGGCGTGCGGTCTGCAAACCTGCACGACGTCAGGCGTGCCAGGTTGGCAGGCAGGGGAAGGCGGTGCCTTCAAAAGGAGGGTCCCCACGCTGACCATAGCTCACTGGTGCTTAGTAGGGGATGAGGGAATGGATCTTAAGTATTCTGTAGTGGGGGGGTCATCCCCTCAGTCCCTGCTAAGCACCAGTCATCTAGTCAAGGGGTGGTCAACACAAACAGTTCACGGGCCATGAATGTAAGACTGCCGCCACCACGACCACAACCACAAGTCTTCCAGTGCCGCTTGCCATTTGGCCCAACAGAAAACAAACACAAAAAGAAATGCAAAAACTGAAACATGCAAGCACTAGTGCATTTGTGGTCCATATCAAGGGCTAAGCCGGTGGGCCATACCAAGAGAGATTGTATGAGATAGTCGAACTAAGGTTCTTCAACCCCTGTTGGTATGTAGACCATATGTAGAACGTATTTAACTCTGATGTTGCTTGCCCGTTTTGTAACAGGTTGGCGAGTAGAAAACAGCGTTCGTTGTTTCTTCTCCGCACCTGCGACACCGGCACCAAGGATGGCCACCTCAAGAGGTCGCGAAGAAACTAATAAAACCGATATATATATATATATATATGTGTATAATGTAAAGTCGTGATTAATAAACCTCCCCTAGTTCATCCGAGCCCACAAAGCCCACGGAAATTGCCCAAATTAAAAGTAGTATTGGTGGCTTATTTCCCCCCTCATTGCTACTTGGGTGCCAGACCCCCCCCGGGTTACTCCGAGCCCACAACCAGGTAAAATTATCTTATCATTACTACTACTGCTGCTGCTGCTACTCCTATAACTACAGCTACGGCTACTGCTGCTGCTGCTGCTACTACTACTATTATAGCTACTACTGCTACTACTGCTACTACTACTACTACTACGGCCAAAACCAAGAAAACAACAATCGTTTGAGAAGCTCACAAAGGGTACCCCTCACAAGGGCCGGTCCCCCCCTCAATAATCTGCACTACTACCCCCTATTAACTTGATCCTGTGTCACTGGGTCCTCCCTTCTCCTACTCCTACTGCTACTACTACTACTACTGCTGCTGCTGCTACTGCTACTGCTACTACTACTACTACTGCTGCTGCTGCTGCTGCTGCTGCTGCTACTGCTACCCCTACTACTACTACTACTACTACTACTACTACTACTACGACTACTACTACTACTCCTCGCTTCTTAGCCGATTAGCCAAATATTCAGGGGAGGTGGACCTCATGAGTGGTAAATCACATCTTCTTGACCTTGTTGACCTACCATGTGGGGGGAGGGGGGGTTTAATCATCAGGTCTTTACATTATTAGCGTAAAGTGGATCACAGAGGTATTGCTCTTCATATGGATCCGCATTGAATTGCACGCTATTATGATTGAAGATACTACTAAGCTCGCTAAATCCTTTAGCGACGATCTATTTGCAAGGCACCAAGCAAAACACAAAAAGTCAAAAAGTGAGAAAAATCAAAAAATCAGAAAGTGAGAAAAGTCAAACAAGTGAGAAAGTTAAAAAGTGAGAAAAGTCAAAGGTCAACAAGTCAAAAAGGTAAAGGACACGAAAGCACGCAGTAGTCGACGTTTCGACTTTTCTAACTGTTCGAGACCTTTTCGACTTTTCGCGGAGGGTCGACTACTTTTCGACTTTTCGCAAGTTCGGAGAGCAAGTAGATCCAGCTCTCACATTTAGCAACCACAGGATACTGACCAGCCAAAATACGCGCATGACACATAAATCGGCTTTGTCTATACTTGCATCTATTGGGCCTGCATCCATGGAAATCTTGCGAGGCATGTCCATATACACCCCCAAATAGATAGAAAAGTGAAATCATTTTCAACATGGATTGGACACCGTTTCTGGACCACTATATTCGGGTTTGGTGTAATTGACGGTGTCTGTTTATAATTGCGAAGAACTTGTATAGCCGATCTGTTGCATGAATGCCATGCACTTGGATCCAAATGGTTGATGCTGAAACCGCGGATGGTTCCAGCATGTTGCAACCATATTATCCATTGATGCGCTCAGAAGAAACACATGGAAGTGGACGCTCTGGCCCCTTGGAAGGCTATATTCCTCTGACTCTACCAGAGTCCGTTGTCAACATCAAGAGGGAGTTGTCCACTTCCATGAGTATTGCAGGGAGGGTTGCATATGATCACCTGTTCAAAAGCGAGTTCGAGCCATGCGCAAGCAAACCTCTTGCCATAGTGGATTCAGAGTAGATGGTGCAATCACCAAGCTTATTGTTTCTATGGACCCCCATCTAAAGGTCCTCTTGGGGTGCCAGTGCCATCGAACCTCTGACATCCCTGTAGATGTAGGGCTGCTTCCCCTCCTGAAGCAGCCCTGCCGTGACCAAAGTGGCGACATGACCTTCAAAAACTCAGGGGACTTATATACACTCCCGAAAACTAACATAGACCCTGACTGTCTGGCCCCCCTGGAAGTGTGAAATCCTCTACCAACCAGTGGTTTTCAGGGTCCATGTTAGTCCTCCAGGGTGTAACTCGATTTAGCTGGGTGCCAAGAACCAACATAGCAAAACTGAAGCTCTTTGCGCACATGTCCGCCCGAGTCATCACCCTCCTGCCCAGCTACAGTCTTCACATTCTTGAAGTCGTTGCTTGGTGTTGCGATGATGCCCTTGGCCTTGGGCGAAAGACCATCAGCCGCATCCATCTCGCACCCTCAAATCAATCTACGAAGCCCTTACTTCCTGAGTCATTAGCATGGAAATGGAAAACCCCCGGGTTTGCACAGAAACATGGTCTTCCAGGGGCCTATTTTCCACTTCCATGCTCATTCTTTTGGGGAGTGTCATGGTCTCGCGAGACAGGTGAAACCTGCAACTGTTGGGCTCTTCTCCTTGGGATCGCCCTCGCAATCACCTCCTGGAGATTCGAGCCCTTGAAGTGGCCCTGGACAAAACCAAAACAGTTGTTTAATATATATATATATATATAACTTTCAGCGGTTCGGATTCCCATCGAATTCAGACATCGTCCTCTACGTAACTAATCGTAACTATGTATCTATCTATCCATCAGAGGCCTTGACATTGATGTGTAAAGATGTATGAATCATACCTAGAACCTCGTTAGGCAATAATTTCCGCCCAACGCCATTTAGGCAGAAAATTCAGCCCGTTTTTGCAAAGAACGCCTAAGCTGCAGCCTCGAGGGAAAACGCCGAGGCACAATCACATGCATTCTTACATGCAGGAGGCAGAGCCAGAATTTGAATGACGAAAATTGAGAAAACAAACGCCTGCCACTTGACGCTAATCCCCAGTCTAAAGTTATTGAAACTCATGTCGCTCAGTCCCCCAAAAAGATCCAAAAAGGCTACCATTCCGTTGTCCGCCCAACTATTGATTGTAGTGAGGGGGGAACGGGCAAGAACGCCTAAGTAACGGGCAAGAACGCCCAAGTAACGGGTAAGAACGCCTAAGTGACGGGAAGAACACCTACGCAAAAAGATATTAAAGCAATGAATCAAAGCAAAGAAAAACTAAAAACATACAAAAGAGATCACAAGAGGAACAATAAGTGAATTCCTGACAAACAAATGTACCTCACTATGAAAGTTCCTGGAATCAGTGGTGGGTGGATCCTCATCTATTTGAGCAATGCCACCAAAAGGACAAGAACGCCCAAAGGGGGCAAGAACGCCTACAGGGGGCAAGAACGCCTAAGCACGGGCAAAGTCGCCTTGACCCATAATAGGCAGACATTTCTGCCCAAGAAGAGGTTATAGGTATATCGGTTTTGATATCGGGATACGTGGATCTCACCCACATGGCCCATAGAGTGAATTCCATCGATCTTCTATTGAAATTATTGGATAATTGTTTCAAGTAGTTTTGGTTCACATGCCGCTCGAGTCACGATGCGCTGGGCCAAGGTGTGAGCCTCCGCGTCCTCGCGCGTGCATCGCGTTTTCTCCCGACCAGGTCGGTATGTTATGGTATGTTTCTCTTTGTTTCTTTCTCCGCTCGAAGCCACCAGCTATAGCAGAGAAGCACCCAGCAAGGTTGATGTTTTCTTAGAAGATTTGTGGAGAAAAGGGATGGTTCATGGTGGCTCCATGACTGCAATTGATTCTTCAGGGTCACAAGTTTGCACGACTACTGTGCACCCTGCACTTGTGCGGGTCTCCAAACCAGTTTAGGCAAACAAAAGTTTGGCTGCCAAACACAAGGATTGGAACTGCCTCAGAGATAGTCACAGATCCTCAGTTGAAATCCACCAGCTCATGAACCAAAACGAACGTTCCAGACTCCCATTCTCCCAGAACCCGCTTCAGAAAAAACCATGCGACGTCTTCCGTCTTCCGTCTTCCCCGGTCGCCTTGGGATAAAGCAAGGAATAAAGGCCCTCCACGAACTCGGTCTCCTCGGATCGATCGGGTCGACTCGACTCGACCGACACCGACACCTCCTCCGTTGATCCGCCAGTGCCGACGTCCCACGATCCTCCGTCCCCGGGGAGCCCCTTATGCCTCCCACCTCGGGTCCTGACGCCTCGGGTCCTTACGCCCCTCTTGCTGGCTGGAAGATCGGCTGGAAGGCCCGACAGTTGGGCAGATCGACTGCACACCCCTTCGGGCATTCAAAGCCAGTTGAGGTCAGGTTCACCAGGTGTTTCTTGCAATGTCCCACGATGCCCCACATCTTCGGTGGTCCATCTTAAGGTCCCATTTTGTTTGGAGAAGTTGTTTGGACCCCTCGGGTTTACACATCTGGTTTTAAAGTCAAAACAATCAACCAATGGAAATATACCCACCCTCCGGACATGGCTGAAATGGTTTTTACGTCCTTTGGCTTTATAACTTTATATTAACTCTATAACAAAATTTACAGAACATTAATGCAAGGATTGCAAGGTCTCAATAGTCAAATATAAGGTTGGGCACAAATGGGTGGGTGGCCAAAACCCTAAGGCTTGGAGTATCAACAAGCCTTCTACGTAGGGATTTGCATTCTGTGGGGCATGTTTTTGCTGCAAGATGTGTCCATGCAGGAATTTGTTAGATGAAATGCTGAAACAACAGTTTGGGGTGGCACCTGCGTCCAATCTCCACCAGGCAGCATCCAGCATCCCATCGTGATCCGCGTCGATCATCTGGAAGACGCGGCCGAGGATGGCATGGTTGTCTAAGCCTCAGGCGTTGGCCGCGGCCTGTGGAACCGCCGACAGAACACATACAAAACGCATATAAACGCATCGCAGCCCATAACCGTTGAAGGTCCAAGGGTCATTCAACTGCTGGCCAGATTGTGTTGGGCCAAAGTTGGGACCTATATATTTAATAACACTTTAACAAGGTTGACCTGCAATCACTAAAACATACTTAAACAATGGGTGTTCCGATGTGTTCAGTAGTGTTCGGTAAAGGCCATTAACACAATTTGTTGGAGTCCTAGATAGATGTATACCTACTATTTCCTTGCCTTGATCCCCAACTCGGCGAAAAGGACTCCGACTCCATCGGGATGTCCAACGAGTGTTTTTTTTTACCACTGGCCAATGATAATTTTGTCTTTTTCGCCTTGCGGTTCCTGCGCCTTTCAGTTCATTCAAGTCAAGGGGGACTTCATTCTGATACTAGCTCTTGCGAGCGTATTTCAATGTATTTCATAGGGAGGCCCCCGATCGGCCCTGGCTGGGGAGACTGGTCTATTTCCTGAACCTTCGGAGTCGGAACGCCTGGGAGGTCTCTCTTGGGAGGTCTCGTCTATTGCACACCCATCTTCCATTCGATCCGCCCACGATGTTGTTGTTGCTGCTGCTGGTGGTGTTGTTGTTGTTGTTGCTGTTGTTGATGTTGTTGTTGTTAGCCTTTCAGCATCACTCCAGTGATTGGTTCGTTCAATGTCACCCCCTGCCAAAAAATACTTAAATCGACCAGCCAAAAAAAGGAAACGTGTATATACCGTATATACACGCAAGCTTTGAGTCTGATCACATGAGGGATGGATTGAATTTTCTGTGGGTTTTTGGAGGGCTAGATCTCCAAAATCAATCCGAGATGATCGGTTCTTACAATTGCAAGTCCGAAACTTGGGTGTGTCTTCAACTTCAATAGTGGGACAACAGGATAAGAAAATAAAGAGCGGATGAAACACAAAAAACATGATGAAAATGATGTCAACAATCAAAGATTATTATGAAGACAATCAATGACTGGAATTGTTTTAAACACTTTAGTCGCGTGCCGAATACCATAAGCTCTTCTTTACATTAGAGAGATGCGTCTTAGATATCTTGTTCATCGTGTATGGCTTATGACCAACACAAAGATGATCAGAATCAGAATCATAATGCTTACTATGAATGAATTTGTCTTGCTGGGAATGTCCCATTCAAGCGTTTCCACATATAATTTCCACTTTCGCCCGAGGAGCTGCCCAGCTTTTCGGGAAAGGCATTCGCCACGGAGCGTGCCGCCGAGTACCTGGCGAATGCCGTCGTGCGCGTGACGGAACGAGAGGCCGACGATGTCAAGGACGAGGGACCCCCCCGGTCGATCCGGTTCGACCCCGGCGATGTCTGGACAACATGGTCAAACATGCAGCATGTCTTTCTGTGCTTTTTGCAGGTGTCTGGTGAGGATTGAACCGCTCTGGAGCCACTTGACCATGGGTTGGCCCTGTTTGGTAAATAGGCCAGTCCTTGGTCTGGGGTCTGGGTGATGGAGAGGATGTTGGAAGACTCCTTCTGTTCCAATGGGATTCCGGAAGAGGTGACCTGAATCCATTGATGCAGAATGGACGCAAAAGGTTAGCGTGAGTCAATGCGAGTAAGGGGCATTTTCTGGAATTGCAATCGTTGGCAATCAGTTCTGGCTTGTTGTGTCGGAATCAACCGCTGCAAAGGGTGAATGATGTGACCACGCTTGTCAGGCAGGATTATCTCAGGAGTTCTGGAGCATTGCAGCGGGCATGGGGGTTATTTGCGTGGTGCCAGGATGCACTATGTCTGCCAAGAGTACCCCCTCAACAATCATGGCACTGGGAAATGCCGGAAAGACACATTCAATACCCAAACACTCCATGTATGCCGTATATGCCTACATTGGGGTGGTTTTGGGGGTCAATGTAGGCATATATGGCATACATGGAGTGTCTGGGATATATACCCTAATTCTCCTCTACCAGGGGATTGTCCAGTTCCATGCTTCGGGGGGAGAGTGCTGGGATCGTGTCCATCTCCTCATTCTTCACTCAGCCCACCTCACCTTCCACCTCCGCACCCCTCAACCCGCAGCATGACGCGCCCCGGGGGGGGGGGCGTGCCAGGGAGTCACCGGCAAGCTGTTGCCCACCGCATGCTGCAGGAAGATTTGAGACAACGTCACCTGCCGTGGATCGGACATGAACACGGCGCGGTCTACGAAAAGCGGTGGACGTTGGGTGCGAAGCGTTGGTTGACTTGAGGACCCAAGCAAGGTCTTGATGGACGTGATGGCTGATCAAGAAGGGATGTGTGGTTTGTGGTTGGGTAAGCCGCCGATGCTGGAATTTTACAAGGTTTTACATGGTTTTACCTCGTATTACACTGCGTCCCCCCGTAGATGTCAGGGGCTGCATCTACTCCGGTATGACATGAGGTGGTACCCGGGTGATGGGGGGGGGTGGTCAATGTATGCACATCCCCGAGTCCCAAACAGGTCGTGTCTGGATTCCATGTCTGTGGAATCGGCGGCCAGGGGCGGCGTTCGAGTTCGCCTTCTCACTCTCCGTGTAGTCCTTCTTTGGTGAGAGCACTGGCTCGTCCTCGGTGTTGGTCCATCTCAGCATTCGTGGCGCCCGGGGCGTCTTCGTCATGGATTCAACTCACTTGGTTAGAACTGGGACCCCCTGGTCACATCGAAGTGGAACATGGCTTCATGGAACACTTTCCTCTGCGAGCAAAGGGTTTTCCACTTCCATGTTGTTCTGGGGAGTGCCCGACACCACCACCCACTTCCATCGGGCTGAAAGAGGGGGGGCGTGTTGGTGATGACAAAGAATTGAACAAGCAACAAGGGTATGTATGAACATGTATGAACCAGCAGATCCTATGCCAGCGGATCCCATCGGCCAAATGGCGCATACCCGTGCAGCATGTCCATGTATGCGATGTATGCCGGGGTCAATTGATCGGCATGTATGCCAGTCCCATGGAGTGTCTGGGATAGAAGACGTCCCTCAAGAAATCGGATTGGGAAATGCATCCATTCAACATGATGTGTTCAAAGGCTGAACATGCCGCAAGCGTGTTGCCAAGGCACCCAAACCCAAAAAGTATGTATCTAATTTAATATTAACCAACAGGCATTTGGATCAAACACAGCTCCTTTTTGTTAACGTTCATGTCATTGTGTTGCTGTTGGTTCACCTGTCACTTGGATTGGTAACACCCTGCTAGTGGATCCATATCTAGATATAGACAAATGTGTTTGTAGAAGTGCAATGAATTTTTTCCGATGCTTACCTTCATGTGGGCCATCTCACGCCATCTCACATTATCATCTCACAACTCACCAGTTCAGTTGTTTACTGGCCATGTGATCGCTAAAAACATCTAAAAACCCGACCCAAAACATGTGATCGCTGTATAGAAGCCTTCTCTTCCTATTGCGATCGCCTGACACGCTGATGAAATCTATAATTAATGAATAATCAAAAGCTGTTTAAAGCCCAAACCATCGATTTCGGTTCCAATTTGGAGTTGCCTTCTTTGCAGCCCTGGACTGAAGTCAATATAACAATATGCATTCCTTTCGAATCCAAGCGGTCGTTCTCCAAGCGTCGTAAATGTTCCAGCCTCAAGCGTCGCGGTCGTGGTGATTTTATCCAATCTGGATTAAAGCCCTCCGAAGAAAAGATTCAATACCCGCAATGCAGGTGCAGGTGCGGGTGGCAACACAGCTATGCAGTGGATCCTAAGCTAAAATAGGCTGGTTGGTGACAATCCCTGTCATTGTGGGACTTGGCGTAGTCAGCTCGTGGATCAAAATATGTACACTGTATAGCTTATGACATTTTGTGACTAACTTCAGCTTAAAATGCTTGAAGACTTGCTTACAGTAAATCTCTCGGGGTGGAACATCAACAGTCAGCACTGCACTTGTTAGATCTCCCCCATCCCCGGATATCCTCAGTCTCGTGCGTTTTTGTCGGTTCGGGCGGATTCCCCGGACGCCAAGCGACCCATTCTGAGGCGCCGAGGCTGGTCTGCCGGTCCGAGCCAAAGCTGCACAATTCAGAAGCTACGCACGGTGGAGGCCATCGCAGAAAGGAGGCGCATGAAAAAAGAGGATTCGAAAGCAGGGTCTGACGACGGAGAACAGTTTTCACCCTTTCCGCATCTAGAGGTGAGAATGCTTCATCTCCACAAGAGTCGCTTTCCTACACGTGATTTTGCATATTGTGCTACAGGATCTAATTACATAGGATCTATCTATTTTTAGGGATCCAAGTACCTTCTCAGAAGGGTACTTGGACCCTCCTGGCACCTATATAACAGTGTCGAACACATCGCCGTTCCAGAAAAGGTACGTGGATCCCTATAGGGTATGTCATCACACAAGTTGGCCGAAAGAACTCCAGCCCTGTTCCGTGGCCTTGGAGCAATTCCGCCCTTGGCCTTGGGGTCCGCACTGCTCTTGGGCGGCGGCCGCGGTGAGGTCCTGGAAAGCGGAGAGCCCGGTAGACGTCCGGACTTGTCTCCCCAACGAACGAGGTGGCCCGGAAGGCGTGATCATGTGGTTGCTTCTTCCAACTCGTGGATTTAGGCTTAGCAAGCCAGGACCACGAATATTATAAAACAAACTAAAATAGGCCAGGGGATTCACCCAGTTCAGGAAAATACATGAATAATATACACCATAATAATCACCGCACCTGATCTGCAACATTAATGTCAAGTTACGATTAATAAACCTCCCCTAGTTAATCTGAAGACACAAACCCACCAGAAATTGCCCAAATTAAAAGTATTATTCGTGCCTATTTCCCCCCCTAATCTTCTAGTTGGGCATCAGAACCCCCCCCCCAGTTAATCCGAGCCCACAACCAGGTCAATTTTTCGTATTCCTACTACTACTACTGCTACTACTGCTACTGCTACTCCTACTGCTACTGCTACTGCTCCTGCTGCTGCTGCTGCTACTGCTACTGCTACTGCTACGTGCTACTACCACGACCACCACCACCACCACCACCACCACCACCACCACCACCACCTACTACCTACTACATGTTTGATGAAATCCTTAAACATGTCTAGGGCTCACGGCCTATAAATTGCCTTATTAAAAAAACAATTAAAAACAATCATTTGACAAGCTCACAAAGGGTACCCCTCACAAGGGCCGGTCCCCCATCAATAATCTGCACTACTACCCCCTGTTAATTTGATCCTGTGTCCCTGGCCTTTTCTTTGTGCTTGTTTAAACTTGTTGTGACTACTACTACCTACTACCTACTACTACCTACTACCTACTAC